TCACGTATTACATACGGCGTTATTATACTATGAAAGCTGAGTCACTGAAAATTCAGCCATCTTGATCAAAAGGCAACATCCTTATTCACACACACTATACGCATGGTTTATCTGCTCATTTGTGGTTACCATATTATATACATTTGAGAAATTCTAATTTATCCGTAGGTATGTTTGCCTGAAGCAAGTCGAATATATTTCATACTTATAGGCACTGTCAAATCCAGCAATTAATATCTCACAAGAAGCAGATATATTAAGAAATTATATGTCACCGAAAGAAAAAATATTTTTCTTTTGCATCATATAATTGGCAACAAAACAGAAAAATGCTGTAAATAGATAAATACAAGACCATGGCCTTCCAATGAATAGTTTTGTGGACAACGCTTTATCTACGCTACTATTGGTATCTTTGAGAGTGTGTAATGTTCAAGTGTGGTCCCGTCTAGGTACTCTTGACGGGAATTATGAATATTGTAAACGTATGGACAGTAATATGGTCAATATCAACTGCATAGTTGTCGGTTGTTTATTATTTTCAGTCCGAGACGTCGGCCAATTGCATCCACTCATGTGGAGATACGCTTTTCTCTCATTATGAGTTTACCCCGTCTCGCATTTTACCCATTACCACTATTATAACTGTTAGTGAAACTTCAACTTACCTTATATTCTATCATCGCTCGTCCGCCTTTTTTACTTTTCCGAATGTTTAATTATTTCCTTCCTAGTTTTAAGTCAATAAACCAATAATTTTTTGTCCCTGTCATCTGGTTCACTTTGATCTCTAATGCTAAGATCATAATACAGCCGAATTGGCGACTGCCCTATAAAAGAATAGCTGACGGCTCTAGGATCCTCACTGTCCTAGAACAAAATCATTGTACCATGCATGTATATATTCTCTATTACTTATTGTTTTCTGTACGTCTCACTGACTTTTATTTGAAATTCGAAATATTCGCACATGTCACTAATCTTTTAGTTGCAGGGGGGACACTTTATCCACGCATAGATTCGCTAACCGATTTGGGATTTCGGTCAACTTGTACCTCTAAAGAACAAATTATCTCTAATAATGACTTTTCAGTTATATCCAACTAAATTTTGCTCGGATGCATTTCGTAGATTTCTCTCAACTTCTCTTATTAGAAACAAAAAAGAAGGTTAGTTATTCCCGTATGGAAGCTGTTTATCCTGTAACCATTTAGTAAAGTATGCAGTTAATAAAAATGTGACAACGGTATGTTACAATGCTTTTTGTAAGTATGCTGTTAAATAGGTTGAAGGAGTACTTGTCCCGTCAGAACGCGAGGGAAAAGTTATATGCTTGGATAGTTTTGGTGACCCTAGAGATAGAGATCCGATTAGTCGATTGGGTTTAAATATTCGTCACACAGTAAGCTACTTTCTCGTCATCTAATTTTCTTCGTAGGATGTCCGAATATTATCACAGTTTCTAAGACCTGATGGAACTGTCCTTCCTAGACATATTTCAGGTATAAGCTGTCGGTCACAAAACCATTTGGAACTAATGATTGAACGCGCGAGGAAGGCTGGTAAGTTAATTTAAACCTATTGATAGCTTAAGATACTAATTTTTCATGCTGGTAACTTAAGTACTGAAAGATTATCTTTTCATATGTGGTCATTAGCATATAACACTATGAAACATATTACCTCAGTGGTCATTGCATTTGGCTTTCAATCACGACACAGGATCAAATCTAAAATAGTATGAACGATAGGGTATTATCGATAGCTCTTACACTAACACTGTAGCTTGAGTTATATTAATTACACTTCTAAGTGGTAAATTCCGTTATTCTTTCCTGGAGTATTGGTATAACATCGTAATGGTTCTCAATCATTAAACCCGAAAGAAGAGCAACTAAAACGTAGAAGTATTTCACAAAACAACTAGTCAGTTTTCATCTCTAGATAGGTTCATTCTCTCGAGATTTGTCTATTTATTTAAACATATAAACATTGGTACAAGGATGTACCGAATATATATGCGCCATACAAATTACTTGATTTGTGTGTGGGCTGTGATACTGCACGGGTGCCCGAACCGAAGCAGGTGATTCCCTTAGGGGACCACTACCTGATCCTTCGACCTAGAGGTTCAATCCACAAAGTAGTGGAGCAACGTTACGAGATGCAGACGGTGACCGACAATAAGCTCATACGCCATATGTTCCTACAGGATCCTGGAGCCCATGTGCACCATTGGTTTGGGACCAGGGTTTCCCGAATCCCTTAGGTGGGTCCTCCGTGTTCACCAACCCAGTTAAAGCGCCAGACATTCGCTTTTAATCCTCTCAAACAACAGTAGTGAGTAGGACTTCCTTGGCAGTGGCCGTATATGTATGGCCTTGTAAGAGCATTTCAATAGAAAGAGAAGACTTCTCAACCTTGGCTGTGCCTTATCATTTAGGGACCGGCCACTGTATATAATTCACAAACTTATTTCTTATTTACATTAAGTAATACAAAGTGATCGCATTAAAGTGGAATTTTGTTATTCCAGTTGGAATTTATTTCTTACCTACTATAGTTTTGGAATTGACTGTTAAAGAATTCCAAATATACAAGGTATGATTAGTTTGCGTTAATAAAAAGACACAGATATTACGCAGTACTATTGTAGACTACGAAGTAGCTAAATAGGACTTCAGTTTGTTAAGGTATTATTTATTTTATCATAAGAAAAATCGCCTTCTAAATATTCTTGACCTCACTTAGGCTTACTACCTGTACAAATCAAACCAGATGGAAGTCACGTGTATGAAAGACGTGGTCGTCATCGATTCAACGTGTACTATGATAGTGAGATGATAGGTCTTCCGAGGGCCTCAAAAAAAGCAGTTAAGTATGTCCCTCCTGAGTAATGTAATAAAAATTTATTTGCATTAAAAAAATTTTATGTTCTGGTTTTACAAAGTATTTTATTCAAGCGATATTATCGTACTTTATTGTGTGCCAGATTTGTCTAAATTTCCCTCCTGGTTACCTTACTCTATAACTATTTTCTTTCATGGAAGTCTTCGATCATCTTTAGTCTTTGAAATTCACTTGATTTAACTGAGTCACTAGCCTTTCAGTCCACCTGTAACTCATTAGTGTAGGGATTTAACTTTTGAAGAAATCACCATGATGTTGGTTGTTTGTTAGTTAATTCGAATACAAAACTAATATTGACTCTATCCACTATCGATCAGTTGCCTGACAGGCTTTACTGTCTCTAGGACATAGAATCCTAGCAACCTGTTGAAAAAACCTGATAAAATCTCTTTTCTCCATTCTTATATACTTACTACGACAGATGCAACTAAACCTGTAACATGAAATTTAGAACACAACATATTATTCAAGGTATATAGATGATACTCTTATTTTTTGTGATGACATAAAAACTTGCTTCTCGTTTGTTCTGTCATTTCAATAATCTTATACAGTTTTCAATGGAACGTGAACGAGGTAACCTACTCAATCTTTTAGATATGAGTGTAAGACGAAGAGATGATGGAACTATTGAAAAAAGCATGTATCGGATATGTGACTAGTGACCGCTCACTAATATCGGGTAACAAAAACCAATCAGAATATTGATTTCTATGACTGTCTTTGAGCCAATCGATAACATGCCAACCAACTCTATTAACCCTGATTCTGTGCTAAGCTCTCATTGGTCCTGGATTCGGTAGCTTCTCTCCCTGGCTTGCCAGTTGAGTCCAGAACAATAATCAGCCTCCATTATACAACTATATTTCGAACGTACGTATTTTCTATTCGGATATACCCGACCATATCACACCATAAAATGAAAAATAACGAGTACACATAAACAAGCCAAAAGGTGGCTGTAATTAGAGGGAACTGAATAACAAGCTGGCAACAGATAAAGAATAGTAAATCATATAACAATAGTTAAAAGATCAAACGAAAGCTCATGATAAGAAAAATATACATATACATCTGGTTACTTAATAGTTACACTGTAATAATATATGTATGATAATAATCTACAAATTAGTCCTGGAAGTTATCATTTTTTGGTCTTCGTTGAATATAACAAGAAAGAAAACGTGTGTGGGACAATACTTGAACTTCTACAGTTTTTGTTTTGTCACAATGTCTAACTTGTATTACTACTGTTTTATGTGTCGATTGCTTGAACTATGAAGAAACCGTTTTTCCTTAGACTTTGTTTAGTGCTCCTGGCTAATTATACCTTATGGTTTCGCTATTAGTAAAACTCTTCATTAATTAGTTATTATTTTAACCATGATGAATGGATATTTCACAAATTAGCTTTGTTAAAGGTAACAAAGATCGTTATTGTTGATGAATTATATGTAAATGAAACCATAGGGTTTTTGTTGGTATACTGACCGGACACTTCCTCATTTGCTACCGAACGTTCAACGTTCCTTCATATGAAACCGATCAGTTGATAAATTGAACCAGTATTGTAGAGATAAGACTACCGTTCATTCTCATCTAAGTTTATCCTTTAGTTTTTCGTTCTTGAATTTTAATAGTTGTGGCTGGAGATATCCTAAACTATAAACCTAATACATTGTGTTGTTATTCTTCTGCAATAACAACACCGTCTTCATTTAAAGATCAAGACAAAAGTATTTACAATCTACCCCAGTGATTTATAGCAAATCACAACCATAGATTTATTGGACCATAGTTTACTGGTTTTTGAAGTTATTTTCTGTACTCGAAGAATTTCTTTCATATAATCTCCTTAGTACTTCTCTGTACTACGTATTTCATTAATAAAGCACGGTATCTGGTACAGTTATCGTTTAATTGTTCATCAGTGTTTGTTATCACTATATATTATGTGAAATTATCGTATATATTCACTTCTAGATCGCGTTGTTCTTGAATCGTAAATGACCATTAGATTGTTCGTTGCTGCATAAATTAAATGTGCATTCCAGTGATTGAATGTGGATCGTCTGGTAGTCTTACGTATTTTAGGTTATAAGTCGTTCTGTATTCTCTCCCTTTTGAGTAGAATAAGGTAGGCTATATGTTAAACAATGTAAGATTAGTGATGGTAGGTTTTTAGTAGACTCAGCCTGATGACAATTGAAAGCAGTATAACAAGTCAGTATTTCGTCACTAATCGAATCAATACAACATTGCATGTCTTAATGTTAGAAGGCTGGTGACGTCCATAAGGAATTTAATATGTAAATTAGTTTATTATGGTCTGTATTAAATATGTTACAGTGTAGCGAATGATAAGTAAAAAAATGCAATCTGATCATTGGATATGAAGCTGATAACGTAACAAAAAATATTCAACTTATATTAAGATTTCCCTTTGTATATAGATTTTAATATTCTGAGAAATAATCGTACCACCTAGGTCATAGTACATTACATATTTGTCTACATTAACCTTAGAACACAAAGAAAGGTATGATATATGGAAAAGTATGATTATAGTCAGAAGTCAAAAACTTGCGGAATTGATACTTTAGAAATTACAGCACAGTTTTGTGTAAATTTGTAAATATCTGGATGATAATATTTCTGTAACCTAAAAAACTATCTTGTTGATCGCATGCAAGAAAACTAGCGGAATTTTAGAAGCTTGACGCTCAGGTCACGTGATAAATAATATTGTTTGTAGATAGACCCAATATTAGGAAAGACGGTGGATAAATAAAAGATCCGGGGAAAATACACTCAATGTACGTGTTTTACAAAGTTTGTACTAATGCTGCCTATATATGTTATAAATAGTTCGCTATTAATCCACTTTGGAGAATATAACACCAAAACAAAATTCATAGGATAGAGAAATAAGTCCTTTTGATTAGTGGTATACTTAATTGTAGTTAGTATACTGTATGTTTGTTTATTTTGTTAACGCTTTAAAGTACGTGACTGTGTAGTTTATTCAGAAGTCAATTCATGTATTGGTTCTTATAAATATGTTTTTGAAAGCAAATGAAGAACATATTTACTAAAATAACACAACCCAACAAAGGCGGCATCAAAAGTGCTTGTTTCACTTCAGCTATGCTGATGAAAATTTATGGTGTTCGTACCTTCTAGTAGTCGCTCTGCACATTATCCTTTGTCTTATTCGAATTAACAGTACGGTACACTCCCAAACTCGTTCATTGTTTTCCTTGGTGTACGTGTTGGTCTACTGTTTACTGATTATCAAAGTACGTATTGGACAGTCCTGGGGATCACTAGTTGACCACATTCAATTTTACATCCCACAAAATTATTCTTATTTCCGTTAGTACTTGGAAACATCTGATTTGACGATGAAATTAGAACTACATTAAACCTAATTGACCAAATAAATCATATATTAAGTGTTATGACGCGTGGTGTCCGAGACTGACACTGGTAAACAAACATCCAACTAGCTGTTAAGAGAGAACACCAAGGGTGAAGGAGTGAGTTTATTGGGTTAAGCGAATTTACATGCAAAAACGTCCATATATATGTCTACTTAAAAAACAAAACTATTTCTTGATCAATAATGAAGGGAAATGTTTGCGACAAAACACATAGCTACACTCTTGGTTGCTATTCTGTTGAACTTGAAGCACATTACGAGCTTTAACCGTCCGTCTCCTTATTTGTTTGTCGCTATTCAGAATTGCATGGGTTAACCTGGTGAGCTGTCCACGTGTTTGTTAAAGTTAGGACCTCTATTCACCACTCATATCACAGTAAATGCTTACTATTTGGTGACACTGCTTTAAGTACGTACAAGTCCTCATAACGGAACAGCTACTTATCAATTGTCATAAACAATTAACTGAGATTATCAGTATACTTCCCCATATGACCACGATAAACACAAAGATAACAATTACGGAAAATAATTTATTGATGCACAGTCACTTCTGGTCAAGTAAGGACAACATATGATGTGCAATAACAAGTCTACAAACTGTATATACAACTACGAAGACATATGATTTACAGCGATCCTGTCACGTCTCCACAAATTCCTATATTCGAAGCAATGTTTGGTAACATCGTAAACAGCAGACTGTACGAATATAAGCACTCTAGAAAATATAAACTTACCTGGCGACTCTTAAGTAACAATTGTCCACTATTCTTTCGACTTTTATTGTGCCTGGGATTGTTACCTGCGACTTTTGGATATTTATGATGTGATTCCACTTGCTCACAACTGCTGAAATGAATTTTAGTGGGAAATCCAATTTCAGAATACCTTCTTGGTCCACAGTCCTGTCTCAACGTACATACTTTAATTCGCGTGCCGTACCCTTGAAATATAATTATACACACCTACTTACCAATGGGCAATTGAGCTTTTATAGTTTTCCCATCTCCAGGTGTGATCTGCTTGCCGATTCGTTCCCTAACACTTTTTGTTACTTCACCTACTGGTGATTGTAACAGTACTGACTTCATATTTTCTTTATCTTCTGAGGATATTCTTCTAGTCCATGGATCACAGACCATCCAAAAGTCACTACAAGGATGATTGTGGAACATCTTGAATGATTTTATGATATATTCTCCGAGTTCCAAAGTTACACGAAATGTTGATTGACAATTCAGGAACTTGGACCTAAAATGTCACGTATAACTTAAAGTTCTAACGGTTTTTTCTTCAGTCCTAAACCTTGTGGTTTACGCTTATGACCAAACGTACACTGAAACACCACAAACATATATTTAAATTTTACGTCCTTCATAACTTTACTTTCAGCATGAATGTAATGAGTATGAGTAATCTAAAAATCGATAACATGATTCTTCTCTTACACGTTGGAATTCACTTAACGCACTTTCGAATTCAGCCCAGCTTCCGAAATGCCTGCTGAGTACTAAACGTTGAAATGCATCGCTTAGGTCGACTCCCATGTCTCTTAAACATGAAACACCACAAACAGGACTGAGCTAGTACAAAACAAAAGCAATTAATCATTGCAATCATACTTTGTTAACGGCAGACGGTTTGACTAAAATCCAAAGTAGATGATAAAAGTTTAAAACACTGATAATTTGTCACTTAATAATTTATATAAAATAGTAAATTATACAAAGTTCAAGTATCTGGAAATGCTTTACTTTAGTTCCTGGGCCTAATCATATATTTAACAAAGCACAAACCCCTAGAACTCGGCTAAAAAGACAAATTTTAGGAAACTTTTAGTGAATATCTTGGTAATATCCAACAAAAAATCTAAGATTCACACAGGTCTGGAGCTTTTACCCAGAATCTAATCAAAATTCCGTTAAGCTGGGAATTCCTCCTTCAATATTGACGCACACCGGCAAAATGCTATAAATCATCGATACACAATCCCAAGATTTTTTTTAGTATGTACGGTTTCGTCCCAGGTTGAGTATTAAAAAGAGAATCCTCACTGATTTCACGAACATCCCGAACTTTTTCACACCAAATCCACATATATATACAAATGAAGGGATTTTTACCTGGAATATCTCGTAATCAGGACATAAAGCACTTTTTCTAATAAATGCTGAGCAGTTTACTACTTACTGCAGTGAAAATCAGCTTGTGACAGTCCATGCATACGATCCCGATGAAATGGAGGCTTTAGGGATGGATACTGGTAGTGGTTCACCAAGCTATTCTAAAATCAACATTTTTATGGTAAAATTATCTTTAGACGGGTAGGTTGTGTCAGCATTTAAATGTAAACTTGCAATATCGGATTCTTAACTTATACGGTTGGAGTTATCTGATAGAGTGAACAAGTTGGAAGGATACTTGTAAAAATATTCGGTCGACATTCAACATGAAGCAGTTACTCTTAGTCGCTGTAGTACCCAACCCGTATGTCTGAAGAGCTAGATGTGTTGAAGGCAGGCGATAAATCCTACAACCATTCATTAGGTTTGAACTGTTTTTCATTACAATTCAAGTGGAAAAACTATCGGGGATAATCGGACGATCCTTGTAAGACTACTCGGTGGTTATCAACTTGAGGTTTTGTCCTCCCAACAAGCGACTCAGTACACATTACATTGAACAAAGTTGATATTAGTTACAATCGACTTGGCATAGTGGTTTGGAGTAAGTTTTTACTATTTCAAACATTCTTGTCACGCTGTTTTGTCTTCAAGGCTTAGCATACGGAAGCAAACAGATATGGCTCGCCAGGCTTACTTGCATGATGCAAGACAAAATGCTTACTGTCGAGATTAAATAGACAATGTAAGTGCCAGTTTATACATATTGTTCATTTATTTATACATACATTGTTTCAAATTCATATGGTTGCTTATTCTATCCATAAGCTATAATAAATCTTTGCTATACCTTGCCAACAATACATTGAGTGGAATTGAAGTTACTCATCTTTTATCAGTGCACAAATTTTACTATGGCTTATGTTATTTTCAGTTAGCTGAGTACATTTTATTTATAAAACAGATATCCTTTGACAGTAAATTACAATCAACCATTAAAGGGGAAGCAAAACACACAGAAACGTAAGCAAATGGGCAAAGTCTATTTTTCCTCTTCACGTCGGTTATTTAGGGAAAATATAGATCCCCCCTCTTACATTGTGTATGTAGGGGAAATTTGTAGACAAATGAAAGTAACGTACTGTTTGAATACGTCGCTTCCTGTACTTGCATTTCCGTGAATCCCCATACAAAAACATAATGTTTAATAACAAACGAGGATAACAATCATTAACACGTTTCAGAAGATACAGACAGAGAGATTTTATTTAGATGCTTTATTTATTTAACTAAAGTGTTCCGACATGCTTGATGCTCATCACACATAGCTCACGAGATGCATGTGAGTGGCTTGCTCTCTGTTTTTAAGTTCATTATCACTAATTTATTTGTTTGTCTTGTAAAATAAATTCAGTAGAGGTGATTGAGAGGGCTCGTAATTGTCGGGGAACTATGAACTTGTCAAACGTCCCAGGCTGACATCGATCGATTTGTAACGGAGGGTGGAATAAAATACGAAACGCTTTCATTAAAAAACGTAACTTGTTTATATTTAGCCAGTTTGTTAATGAAAGCAAAATCAAATGTAACTGACTTTAGCAGTAATTTATGTTGCATTATTAGCAGCCAACTCCGGAATTATTTGCAATGATATTTCATCAAATTTATCAGCACCCAGTAGCTACAGCAATTAAAGGCTTCTAGATGATATTAGTATGTGTGAGAAGTGAATTCGTCAATAAACTTCATGTAGGATGTCATGACGTCAATTTTGTGTTCTCAAAACTCTGCAAACCGTAAAGAGCAGATCAACAAAATATTGATGGATTTGATGAGAAAAACTTGTATGGACATCAGAGATGCTGATCGCATTCTGAGTGATTTTCGAGATCTTCCAGAGTTACCGAGTAGCATCAAAAGGCCCCGTTATTCTTGAAAACAGTCAACCGCGACCACTGTACCTTAACTTCAGGCGTTAAGTGTTATCGATTTATTTGCTACCACATCCAAGATTACATGATAGCGCTATGGAATCATTTAGGATGTGTTTATGAAACTTTCTTAATGAATATAAGTGGTGCTATGGGTCTAAAGGCTTATTTTATAATGTGCATTTGTTGCAGCCCCTTGATGATGTTCGTCCACATGGACCTTTATGGGCCTGAAGTAACCTTTGTTGAATTGATGAGTGAAACCAGACTAGTATTGGGCAGGTCTTTATTTAGATCGTGGGACAGTCACAGTGGAGCAGGAATTTACCTGTTTAAACACATAAAGTCTTCCAACGTTCACTATAAGATCATAAAAAATGTATTGTATATTCGAAAAGAAGAAATAAATGAATATTTGAGCTTTATTGTTTCGACATATACTTGGTTGTTTGAGATCAACTTTTAAATAAACAACTTAAGTTGTCATAACTTTTGATTACTTTCCATCATTTCCATTCCAGTCTTATATGAGAGAAATTAGGAAACAATGTATAGCAGATATTTTTTCGCCAAGCAAGCACCTCAGTGTTATGTGGAGATGTCTTTCTGTCATAGGCTTCAAGCGAGCATTGCAGCTTATAGTATTCATAGAACTGTTAGGTTGATTCACGCAAACAGGTGATTGTGCCTAAGAATACTAAAATAACTTCATTTCCGCCAGATAGTGTGGTACTAGTGCACGGAAAGCCTGGTCTGGTCATTGATGTACGGGGAAGTGGATTAATGAAATTTAAGTCATTCACAGACATTTCTTAAGACAAAGTCTAGGAGGTAGGACTAAACGATGAATATGAGAACAGAGAGAAACCATTTAATTCATCAATCAAACAATCAAGGCAACGATCCAGTGACATCACACATTGATGCAGTATGCTGAGCATCAGAAGATCAAAATACCGTAAAGTGATTAGGGAGCCACTTCAGAAGTGCCTGGGGTCTTGCAGAAACTGCCAAATCATGACAATGATATGTTTGATTTGAGTTAACACACTGAGTCTGATGACGTTCATCCTACAAGCATTTAAATTGTTGACATCATAATGATGACCGATATCAGACGTATCTTAAACAATTTTATGTCATAGAAATTGTTAAAATTTAGAGACTCACCCTTATATGATTGCTAATCATCGCGTTTAGTGACATCGTCAGTAGCTTAACATAAAATATGCACATTACAGATTAAGTGTTCTTTCTACCATAACAACATTCGTACCTTGACAAGAAGTCACTCAAATTAACCAGAACACCTTTAAAGAAAATGGTATTCAAATTTTAGTGCGCCTGAAATGTTTGAAAAAATTCCGGGTTTTCCCCAATATTACACCAGAATCCTATGACATTCAAATTGGTTTAAATTGTTTACGCTGGTTAGCGATTTTTAGCAACGTTGTTTTCTACAAGGTGGAATTACCGATGTCACGCCCAAATCTCGTCACTCAGCCGGGCTTGAGACTGGCAGTATACCTAGTAGAGCTACAGTTGGGGTTGGTTGACTGTATTATGCAGACCACACCCGACGAGAGGCGTGGAATAAAATGGACAAATTGGATGCAACCACACGATTTGGACTTATCAAAGGACTTGGCCTTTTTATCCTATACACACCAACAAATGAAAGTGATGACAACCACTGTAGAAGATGTCTCTACATCAGTAAGTCTCAACATACACAATAGAAAAACCAAGATCATCGAATACAACCTGGAGAGCACCAACTCAATCACACTTGATGGAGAAACTCGGGAACAGGGGAAAATCTCACACACCTGAACAGCATCATTGACGAACAAGGAGAATCTGACGCAGACGCCCTATGTTTCTCCATGACTGGTGACGAGCATAAGGTCAGCACCTAAAGCAAAAACATGGCATTATTGTGAACATTCAGAAATGCCAAATCGGAACAAACTCCTTAGACGTCCTAGGACACATCATTGATGCTCAAGGCATCCGACCCCTTACAAGCAAGGTGGAGGACATTCCGGATTACCCAAAACCGACCATGATTAAGCAGTTGCGCACTTTCAACAGCCTTGTAAGTTTCTACAGACGGTTCATACCGAATTGCGCATCACTTATGAAACCGTTAACCTACCAACTTCGTGGGAATGCGAAATCAATTACTCTAGACGAAACCGCATGAAAAGCATTCTCCACAATTAAGCAACTTATGACAAAGGCATCCACGCTGGCACATCAAAACACTCAAGCACCCATTGTTATCGCCGTAGACGCATCCGACTCAGCGAACGAAGGAGTCCTACAAAAATGTGTTAACCACTACTGGCAACCCTGAGGATTTTTTTGAGACGATTGCTAGACACTGAATTGAGGTACAGCACTTTCTGTAGGGAACTCCTAATTATGAATTGAGCTGTACAACATTTTCAGCAGTCTATCGAAGGCAGAGAGTTCACCCTTTGTACTGATCATAAACCTCTTACTTTCTCTTTAAGTTCATCTTCAGATTAGTACTCACCTCGAGAGTCTGGACAACTGAACTACATTCTGCAGTTTACTTCAGATATACAGCACATTTCTGGAGCAAACAATGTAGTTGCAGACACCTTGTCTCGTATAACTTCTATGAACAATTTCCAAGGAATCGACCTTCTTAAACTCTTTCAGCTTCAAAAAGAAGATATTGATCCTCAACAACTCTTAAACTGCGCATTCAACAGATGAGAACGGGTAAGGAAACCCTAGTGTGTGACACATCTACAGACGGTGATCGCCGAATCGTGCCGGAACATTATCAACGCAACGTCTTCAATACGTTGCACAAACGTACTGATCCATGTGTTCGTGCATCCATCAAGCTCATAGCCGAACGGTTTTGCTAGCCTGGTATGAATAAAGACGCGAAGGAGTGGGCAGGCTCCTGTGTAAGCTGTCAAAAATCTAAGGTCATTAGACACAACAAATGTCCATTAGGCTCGTTCAAAACTCCTGAAGATCGTTTCAACCATATTCCTCTGTATTTGGTAGGACCCTTAACCGATTCAAATGGATACTCTTATCTTTTAACCTGTGAAGACAGTTTCACTCGATGGCTAGAATCAGTACCTATTAAGGACATCACTACTGAAACAGTGGATCGCGCTTTCGTCGAACTATGGGTGGCGAATCTCGGCTGCCCTTCAACCATCACTACAGACCACGGACGCTAGTTCGAATCTGAACTTGTCTGATCACACTACTAGGAATCACTCGCTTTCGAACGACCACCTACCACCCACAAGCAAACGAGTTGATAGAACGCTTTCACTGAAAACTGAATGCTTCGCTATCAGATACAAACGTTTCAACGTGAGGAGACTCTCCTCCACTCGTCTTAGTAGGTATTCGCAATGCAGTGAAGGCTGACATTGGATACACTGCATCTAATCTCATTTATGAAACGATACTTCGACTTGCAGGAGAAGACGTGGATCCTTCATCTCCTCCAATGGACGTGGATCTAAACTCTTACATGAGCAGGCTTACAAACGCAACGCTTTCAGTCAAACTTGGTTCCACTGGACCACATTTAACTGATGTTTTCGTTCAACCTGACTTAAGATATACTACCTATGTCTTAGTATGTCAACACTCACATAGAAGACTTCTCGAGTTAGCAGACGAAGTACTCTTTAAAGTTCTTCAACGTGAACCTAAGTACTGTATAATCGATAAGAACGGCACTAACGATAGCATCAGTACCGATCGCCTCAAATCAAGGAAATCCTATACCCGTCGATTTTAACTCGGTACAATCGAACGACACGGCTCCTAGATTTATAATACTTCATCCGGCAGCTAACACAAATGTTGATACTTCGTCAGTATGTGAAAATAAACTTAAGACAACTCGTTCTGGTAGAAGAGTTATGATTCCAGAACATTTAAATGACTATTGCACGTAGGACACCAGCTAGCATCCCGATTTTCCTTTGTATTATACATAATAAAATTTTATATGCTTATACTTATATGTTTATTCCAAAACAAAACAACAAAAATTATTTTTATACCAATAAGCGTATATTTGAACTTTTTAAAAGTCGAAATAAAACACTTTTAAATCTCTCTTACGCTGTCACAAGAGTATTAGTTTATTTACCTTCTTTTCGCTCGCTTTGTGTCTTTATGCGCGTACGAGAGTATTTTGACATGCACTTATACATTCCATTTTTTCTTTTGCAGAACGGCTGAAAAAGAACGATGAAGTTCATGATGAACAGCTATTTTGATCGCACTTTGTTTACCAATTACAATGCTGTAGTTCATGGCCTGCTATAGTAAGGAAAGACAGCAAGACGCTGTTAAACATTGCAAGCTATCAGAAGAGTGTTTACCAACGACAAACACTTTGGGTCTAAACTTTTGGTTGGCCACGCCGTAGGGTCATCACTTCCTCACTGGGGGAAGGGATTGATCTGCAGCGGTAAACAAATCCCCGAAATCAATAGCTCTGTAAGTGTTCGACATTGGATGATGACCACATTAGTTATAATGAACTCATTCAGCTGAAGGTGCTCTGTCATACATCCGTACCAGGTCACGTTTTGGAAACGGCGTGCACAACATCTCCTGGGGTTAATAGCCAGATTAGATCAGTTTCTTCTCGATACATTGACAACTAATCAAACATATCCTCCAACCTCCTCGCTTCTGACTATTGATTTCACTGGGTGGGCGCGATTCCATTATAGAAGAGGTTATTGGTAAAGTGTTATCAAAAAGCAATACCTGTGATATTTTCACACTGTCGACCATCTACGTTGATGTTCCATGTCGAAATGATTGGGGCCTACTAGAGTTAAACGAGAATGGGGACGAACCAACTAACGCTGAAGTCACACCTCGCGACCAGCCCTTACGTGGATTGAACCATCGACGCATCAAAGGATAATAGATGCTATGGAGACTGTACAACACAAAGGACGTTATTACAAGAATATATTAGTTAAGGTACAACTACGGAAGTACAGAAGTGAAAGAATAGCCACTGCAGCGTGGGCCAGTCCATGGCGTACGATTGGTTTGTGTGCGTTGACTACCCTTGACCTTGACAGGGATCAATGATCTGTTCAGTATTCAGTGACCCTACAATACTCCCTCACCAGATTCAACGGCCGTTTGAATCGATGCCGAAAATGTTGGGAGTAGTCGCGCGCCGGAGGTTGCCAGACGATTAATATGAATCCTCCGGGTATTGCCGAGCTGTAAAAGAAATTGAAAGGAAGCTGCAGAAACTGATCGGGGAAACAACGAGTAATAACACGTAACAGGGACGTTGTTGAATGTTAAGTGAAAAAACCATAGAAATAATAGAAAAAGAAACATGACATTTTAGAGTTTTATCAAGTCGCGTTGAAATAATTAGCTTTGAAAAGTGATTGAGGTCCTCAGATGCTAAACGTTGAGTCCGCTGCAAAAATAGTGATGTCACAGTGATAGTACGATAAGTGTATTATCAATCGATGCCGATGTTTGTACTGCCCTCGGTTCAGAGTAGAAAGTCAGTAAGTGTCGTTGACAACTGTTCGTAAGCGTCGATTTCTAGTTATATCTATATTTAACAGACTAACTGTAAGTCCAGAAGTATAACCGTGAAGATAAGCCGTGGTTTCCTTGTGCGAAGCTTCTGATCAACTTGCAGCCAGTTTGGAAAAACTGATAACTGCTGTGAAAATCAATAAGGGTCGAAGAAATACAGATCGAGAGCGAAAGGTGGCACGATGAAATCCCTGAAAGATGATAAACGGTGGGTGCTGCACATGTGTTGGATGAGTGAACCGAAAAATGTCGAAAAAAACATGAGAAACCAAGAGTGTCACTCTGGACTCATGTCAATGATATCGGTGAAAAATGCTGTCAGTGTTGGGGTCGAAACGACAATATCGTTGTCAGTTTGCAGGAGATGCGCTCGACTGTCTAAACCGATGATTAGCGTGAATGAATGTCGTCAAACCACCAATTGAACTGGACAGGCTTTAGATCGTCGAGTAGTTGAACAGCCGATTGATGTACCGAAATCATCTGTTAGATAACAGCCACGCGGAGACAATACTTCATAAGATAAAAATACGACATCGAAGTTGAATAACTACGATAGTTCGGATGTGTTGTAATGTCACATCGAAGTAACATCATTTCGTATACTGACAACTGTACTGAACGTTCGTTTGGGCATTGTTAATGTAGCGATTGGATGTACAGTAGCAAACATACTATCGTGGGGTTCGTGGAGAGTTTCAGAGGTCGTTTAGATGTTTTCCAAACCCGTATTGCATGTGAATAAACCGAAGAAATTGAAGTGACTTACGTGCAATATAGAAATCGAGCTATGATTTACCGTGTGAGATAACGGCATATACAAAACGTGTCGCAAACATTAATTAAAATGGTAACCACCAATGTAACTAAAGTTTAGGTTTAGATAACGTAATCGTTTCGTAAAATGGCTTATTATTTAGCGTTAAGTGACATTAAATACGATGAATATCTGGTAAGGACATGGACTAAGATAGCTCCTGACACGTAATACGTTTTTCTACAGCATGTTGATTTACGAGTCATAAATGTACATAGTTTCGACCAAAACTTGATGGCAGTGACAGAATGTATGACTACTCCAAGTGAAAGTAGCCTCGAAATGTTATTAAACATCATAAAAATTATACGAAATTATTTAAGTTATGAAACTCGCCTGGGTTACTCTTGCTCCAAAGTAATTGAAATTTGTTGATTAACTTCGTAGATTAACGAAGCGTTGTAGACTGAATTGGAATAAGTCCAATTTACGTCGAAAACGTAGAATTCCCTGACGAAGTCTAAACAAGATCTAACATTGCGGGAAATTTATAGATCAAACTCACCGTAAATTTATAGCATTTGTATCCTCTGATTCGCCATGGAACTCAGCAATTGGAAATTAGGCATGCAGTGGTCAAGAAAGTAAAATATTCTAGTAAATAGTTTTTGATAGTAGTTAGTTGACAGTGAATAAGCAGAAAGATGAATTTAATAATCGGCAGTTTATCCTGTATTGGTTATACAAGTGGATAAGTTGCAAACAGATATGCGTACGTGTTGCCTTGAGGCTATACTTACGAGTGGTTGATATTTTGACAGACATATTACACAGGAGCATTTACATGCTGCTAATGCTTGTTAAAGAACCACGATAGTCGTAGTTGATTGGTTAGTTCTATCGATTGAACTAATTATTTCAGTTGAAATACTAATCAACAGTGATAAGAAGCAATGAATGTTCACAGAAACTGATAAATATAGCCGAAGTTAAAGATGAAAATAATAAGTATAAAATGCAATAAGAAAGATCATAATGATGGGTTGCGTTATTCGAAGTCTTGCTCACCAGTGTAGACCATCTACGTTGATGTTCCATGTCGAAATGATTGGGGCCTACTAGAGTTAAACGAGAATGGGGACGAACCAACTAACGCTGAAGTCACACCTCGCGACCAGCCCTTACGTGGATTGAACCATCGACGCATCAAAGGATAATAGATGCTATGGAGACTGTACAACACAAAGGACGTTATTACAAGAATATATTAGTTAAGGTACAACTACGGAAGTACAGAAGTGAAAGAATAGCCACTGCAGCGTGGGCCAGTCCATGGCGTACGATTGGTTTGTGTGCGTTGACTACCCTTGACCTTGACAGGGATCAATGATCTGTTCAGTATTCAGTGACCCTACAACACTAAAAGACCAGTCGAAAAGTAAGTGAATATAAGAGACAATAACAAAATATTTCAGGATGCCGAGAATTGCTTCTAGGTGTGCTTTATAAGCATCATGGTAATACAACATAGCCAGGCAGTATGTCTGTACTAGAATCTGCCTTTACATGATTCATTTCTTAAGCCCACTAGGGAGTGAGATATCTCCATATTTATCGTTCTAACCATGAAGATAATATCAAAGTTTAAGAAATACAAATCTCTTTTTGACCGTGAGCTCATTTTAGGCAAAAACCTTCTGCACAAAGATTATCAAACGACTTTTGAACGGTGTTAGATACTTACCAATATATCCATCGATTGTTGTTTAGTAACTATCATTCATAATATCTAAGTACGATAACTGCTCTCATTAGTTTCCGTCTTTTTATGCGTTCTACTATGCTTTTTCAACTTCGGATATTATATACTGAAGCACTAATGAATACGGTTAACCCATAGATTATAGTTTACCTATACTATCTAGATGAAATCAAGACCAAAACCAAGGTATCGATTTAATTTACACAGGGTGTAAGAAAGTGTGTCAAAATTGCTGTGTAACTTACTTAGAACTCTGATAATTTAATGAATCTCTTTCGTTAGTTTCAAACAGGCAAATGTTTCCTTGTTTTTTTGTTTTAACGATTAACAGTAGCTTTATTACCTGTTGCTATGACACCAGATAGCGTGCTTGGCTAAAATTGAGGCCAGTACATGTTTGTAAAAAAGTTGGTAAATTTGAAAAAAACAATCCAATTCATTTGGGTACAATTGTTTAATTTAAATCTAACAGATTCGTTATGATTTATAGTGCATGCATCATCAGTATGTTCAAAACGTTTATGAATAATTAAACATAACTTTAGAATGTACTAAGTTTGCTCACCATGACTATTATTTAATGTAAAAATTCTTATCATTTTCGAGATTTTTGACCCCGAATTTTCTGTATGTATTTCCACTGGGTCTGAAATTAAGATTTATATAAATCCATAACGAATGTAATATATAATACATCCGCTGCTAGCTCGTTTCAGCAAGCTGATTCTGCCATGCTCATTTTTTTAAATAGTAAAAACTTATAGTCAGTTAGATCATTTTCAGCCACACGTTTTTCCTAGTTTGTCTGAAGTATATGTGCAGACGGAAGTGTCCATCATCTAGGTAATATCGTTTTTATGGCTTGATCAGTGGTAGTTCCGTAAAAGATTCTAGTCTTGCCACTTCAAGAGAAAGCCCTAAAAAGAAAGAAAAATTAGGTTGGGACCTAAACGGATTGGTCAAAGACTAAATGTTTTTCGATTTTGTATGAAGTTGTGGAGGGAAAATTCGTGATAAAATTGTTTACTTTACGGACTACTACATAATGACTTTGTAGTAATGTGGTATAAATCGTTTGTCTATGACTTCAATCCAACTTTTTGCTGAAGCTGTCTACACTTTTAAGTTGTCGCTAACCACCTTTCATTTGTAAAGAAAAACACCAAATTCCGTTTAAATATTCATGCATGGTTTAGGTCTTAAATTATTAAAATTTATTATTGTGCGACTTCAAACGTCTTATAAAGCGTTTTGATGATATTCAGAAATATTCAAGTTGACGCTTCAACCAAGAGCTTCTACGAATTTCCAATCTTATTCAAACAAAACTGGGTCAGGATAACTGAATTTATGGTGGCTGGAATTCAAAACAAGCCTGGGATCATGTACAAAGAGATCGTTATTATACACAAATATTACAGGTTCGAGTTCATTTTTGTCAGAAACGACATCACAACACTTTGGACTTTGACATGAGACTGCATGTTTAGCCTGCATATATTTGATTTGAGTCCTCATGTGTGCCACTAGACACAAAGTAAACTAGTTTAAAGGTATAAAATCAAGAGAATCACGATATAAATATTGGGCCCTGAACAAAAGACTTGGAGCATTCTGTATCATCACGTGATATCAAGTTATATTTCTTATTGTGTAATCTGATGTAGATAACAGGGATTCGTGTCGAAATATATGTTCAATGAGACTTTTAAACCAAAATCTTAATTAAAATAATCGTCTTTTCTGGCATGAAAGTTGAATAAAATTGTTGGATAGCTTGTGTGAAGCATTCTCAGTCATGCTGAATATTCGGATGTTTTCTCAGAACCAGTCTCTTTTGTCTACCCGAATATAAACTACGAGTCACTTTGAAGGTGTTGTACGAGATAAAAAAGCCACACTAGCTTGCTCAGTTACGATTAAACGTACTGTGAAAATTATTTGTTTTTCAACTAAACCTATAACACATACGTTAAAAAAAATGAAAACATCATCCCAAACGCTTCATCTCCGTAATCATCCTGATATCAGTTTGACCTTGACGAGTCAACCACTTAGTTAAGACGTTAAATCTCTGATGATGAGATTCAGTCCGTCATTAACTGGCATGAAAGCTCAAGTTTTTGAACCTCAAGCAAACATTATTATATGATAAATTGGAATATAAAAATATGGGCCATCTAAACACAACGCTTAATATTTATTAAGTGATAAAATGGAATAAATGTTCACAGTACAAGTTTACGCATTAGAAAAACTAAGCATAAAATGGCTTTACATTCCCTGTAGTTTCAAAGAATAGATCTAAAAACATTGCTAAGACAGTGCTGGTTTCTGAGATAGGCATTTTGTTAAAAATCCACTTAAATACATGATGTGCTGCATATTAACAACAGACAGTTCGCTGTCTTTTAGTAAGTTAATAAGCTAAAATGATGTATATAATAACTTTATCTCATGGCTACTTCCCATCTTTAGGCTAAATAACACACTGATACCTTAAAAACTTACACTTAATGTTATTTGCGCCCTCAGAAGTATCATGAAAAAATGGTATATATTCTTCTTAGTTTGTGAAACTAACTTCATAATTGGAGTAAATGAAATGTTTAACATAGATGTACTTAAAAAGTTAAGTAGACACAAAATTTTTAACATTTTTCTACTTGTTTTTGAATGTTTTATGAAATCTGGATCCTTATTGAATATGAAGTAGTCACAGAAGTAATCATGACTCCAAAATAGTATTTGGATAATTTGGGTAAATTTAATCTTCTTGACATAAACCGAATAAGTTAGGCTGTAGGCATAAAATACATTTCCCCACGATATTCATTAGAGTTTTTCTACCGTTAGTTTAATTATAAACAACATGTGATTGAGCATCCTTTTTTATTTTCAGAGCATTTCCTGTTTTCTCTCTATTAAGTTTAATATAACTTAAATAAATTAAAAGGCCACCACTTAGACAAAGATAGTAAAAAATACCTTCCCAATATAAATTTGATTGTTTTGAAGATTCAAAAGACTTTAGTAGTTTCCTAGCTTGATTTCAGTCTTGACGGTTGTGCTTCTTTGACATAAAATGAATTTCATACTTAGTAAATGAGTTAGACCATCTATGCAAGAATTAATTAGATTTATTGATAATCTCAATTTTAATTGTTTGTATATTAGAAAATGAGCTGAGATATTTGCTCGATATTTGTTTATTGGGCCTTCAGTTACTTGAACAATTTTGATATTTTGCATATATTACAATAGATTTTGTTATTGATTGATGTTAGCTGGGGACTAAGTGAAAAATAGAACGTGCTAAATATATGTTTTGGGAATTTTATTTATATGACTAACTTGCTTCAAAATGCTAACTGATTCATAAGGCAAAATATACACTGTAAATAAAAAACTCAGGACGGATTCTATGTGAAATCGAAACATTCTAACAAATAGCACACCTACGACAAAAGTTGACATAGATGGGATAGCATGCTCACCGACAATCACCTACATTCTCTAAAATTAATCTCTACGGATAAAACCCAAGATGAGAGATGCGTGTAAGTGATTTTGTGAATCCAGGGAGGTAATTCTCACTGACCTCTCGTAGCAGGGGTGTTGTTTACGAAGTTGAGAAGACGAAAGGCGAATGTCCGGCGCATTGACCGGGTTGGTGAATATGAAGGATCCACCTAGGGGAGTTGGAGAACCCTAATTCCAAACCGATGGTGCACATGGGCTACAGGATCCTGAGGGAACATATGGCGTATGAGCATAATGTCAGTCACAGTCTACCATGGAACTGCATCTTGTAACGTTTCTCCACTGCCTTGTGGATCAGACTTTTAGGTCGAAGGTTCCGGGTGTGACCCCCCTACGAAAACCACCTTCTTTGGTCTGGACACCAGGGCAGTATAACGACTCACACACAAATCAAGTGACTAGTGTGGCGCATATGTATTCGGTCCCCCTTTGTACCAATATTTATGTGTCCAAGTAATAATAAAAAATAAATTTTGTGAATGAAGCACTATGGAAGAGCTGCTATGGAAACACGGAGGCAAATATGAAAGTCCCGAACTGAAAAGGAAGAAATAACCAATCTCTATCTCATCCTTAGATCCATCGATAAAGATAACTATGGTGTACGATGCATAGATTTAGGCCATTTTATTAAATCAGCATAAAATATGTATACGCTTCTTTACGAGACTTCAAGGGCAAGTGGAACATTTATTGTCGTACCATACACGTTCAAACTTGAATAATCAATATAATAGTAACAGTCCACATTTTTTTTATGTGATATAATAATTTTTATTAGTTCAAATTACTAATTGCCCATTTACTTGGTTGGTAGTAGTATAATGAAAATATGCTTACTATGAATAAAAGGTAAATTATCATTAAATAAACAATGGTTGGAATATTTTTGATACTATATCAGTACTAGTATAATACACTCAGCAAATAACCCTCGAGGATGAATAAGCAGTTTATTTGAATTCCGTCTGTAGCACTTCTAAAGTTGCTGCCGGTCCCAAGCCCGAGCACAGGAGGGGGGTTGAGCATGGGGTCGACAACCCAATACCATAGAAAACAACCTTACTAAAAAACGCTAACCAGAATAGATAATTTAAACCATTTAGGTTCTTCCCTCCCAGTTGAAGGCAGAATTATGCCACCTCATGATGTAAGCCGATATTCTTCGGAGGCCGCAAGGCCAACGCCATCCTCTCCCTACAATCAGAGCAACAATTCAAGATTACAGGTACACCTCGCTGACGAGTGCCAAGTAGCACGAAACCCGGGTCCAGCGTTTCCTGTTGACCACCACTAACCACCATCTTGATTTTGATTGTTACACAGGAGAATCAGGAATTAGATTATTGAGTAAAATGTTTTTTCTTTGAGGAAACATTCAATCGTTGGAGTTTTTTTGGGGGTTAATATAACCTTCATTATTTATTAATCATAACATGAAACACTGATATTTGTATTAAATAAACTTTAATTTATTAACATTTAGAATTCGATTATTGAGATGGATCGTTATGAAAAATTAACAAGAATTGGAGAAGGTGCATATGGTGTTGTATTTAAATGTCGTCATCGTGATACTGGAGATATAGTTGCTATTAAAAAATTCACTGACTCTGAAGAAGATCCAGTAATACATAGAATTGCAATGCGAGAAATTCGTACATTAAAAGTAAGTTACGAAATTTTCGCATTTGCATTAGACGGGAATATTGTATGATTGTGAACTATGGAATCAATTGTAAGCAAAGATGGATAGTGGCCAGCAGTGGAATCTAGGACGCGCGCCACTTCGTCCTATTTGGGACTCGTCAGCTGGATGTACCTGCATCTCAGAGTTGATGATCACTCTGGGACTCGAACCAAGTACTTTTCGCTTCAAACACCATCGAGTTATCTACTCAGCTACTGAGTCCTGATAACCACTATCCATCTTTGCCTATAATGCTTGTGAATTAAGGTTATATCGAGGCAATACGCTCAGTATGCACATATGCCAATTAGAGACTGACCAGTTGCAGTCCTAAACATCAATAGATAGATTCAAACAAACAATACTAAACGAATTTAAACTCCACCCCATTGCACAAGCAAGTGGCTGACATTATTTAAACAACAATTGTTGTTTAATTAAGATCATTTCGTAATGTAAACGATGATGTGATTTGATGTGATTGAGCGAAAAACTGCACACGTAAACCAACTTATTGACTTGAAGCAGTCCTCGGTAAATGAATGTTCTAAAGCAGAATAACTGACCAACAACTGGATTCATTTTATAGCTGAGAAATGACACATTTATATATCAAATGTTTAGCACAACAATAAATATGGTTAAAAATTTTTTAAAACCTTAAATGGTTGTAGGACTTCTATTTTTTAGGTCTTCATTCAATAATGACACTCAGACATGAATATTAAGGTCAGCAAATCACTTTTATTTGTGATGTTCTATTTTATGTTTATGGAAAGTGACCTTCAACAATAGAAGATATTTGTAGTTTAGTGATATTTGATCATGAATGACTTCAAATCATTGTTTATGAATGTTGGGACCACTGATTGAGCTGTGCTGAGGTAAGACTCAGAGTACTGAGTAAAAATCAATAAATCAGCTGATAAGTTAGAGATTCTTCATTGGCTGAAGTTGTTAGAATATGTACTTCTCGTGTTTAACCACTTCCTACCTCGACTAACGATGTTGGCTGGTGTAGAAGTAGATTGAAAGAAAGCTAGAGATCGGTAAATCAATATGTGGCATTAGTCTACGAAGTTACTAACTGTTGAATTAAGTCATGCTGAGGCGTTGGCAATCCATCAATTCAAGCCCGAACTCTGTGTGCATAAATGATACGTTCAACCTGTCATCCTTCATTGACCCTAATTCCCTTCTTTAGTATATTTTAGTCTTGTTTCTTTTTTCTAGATTAATTCTTTGTAATTATAACCCGTAATCAGTTACTATTATGACCCTTACGTTTTTCATTTTTCTTTGTATCTGTCGAGCGGACAGATTATCTTTCATGATTCTGACCTGTAAATTATTTTCTTCTAAATCACCTGATTATTACGCAACCTCATTCGATATTTGGAGTCTCCTTTCTGCTATTACTGATACTGTTACTTATTCTAATACTTCGGAATTTATCTTGATAATTTCATCTCGTTGATCTGAACTGAAGTAACAACTTGGACTGATTCACACATACTTAGTCTTCTTGTTTGATTTGTATGCTTGTATTCTTTCTTTTTACAAAAAAGATTATCCATTTATTTGGTTGACCTTAATCTACTAGATCGATGAAATAGACATTTATCTAGTAGGTCACCAATTCAAGCTAACTAAATTTCCTTTTGTACGGAAAGCGATAAAAGTTTCAGTTTGAAATCTAATAGATAACTTTGTAAATATCTACTCATGGACTGAAAGATATTCTATATAGTTGAGATCATGAGTCAATTGAAGCTAGACCAACATGGAAAACCTGGAAGCACTGGATAGCCTTTTCGTTCTATTGTGGGACTCCTCAGTAGTGCGAATCCACGATTCCGCTTCGCGAGATTCGAACCCAGGACCTCTCAGTCTCCACAAAACCCCCTTCTGATAACGATCATATGCTCATTAGTGACTGGCTCTATTAGGTGTTTCCTGGAGTTCTAGTGGGAAGCAGTAACCAGTGGAGTTCAACCAGGTCTGTTGGGAAATATCAATGCACTGAAGACATTAGTGAACGGTTGCTCAATTTCGTGGATTAGTTGAAGTTAGACATTAACACCGTTAGATGCCGGCAAACTCAGTGGTCTAGTGGTTAAGTGCTCTGGCGCGAAACTGATAGGTCCTGGGTTCGAATCATGTGAGGCGGGATCGTGAATGTGCACTGCTGAGGAGTCCTACAATAGAACGAAACGGCTGTCCAGTGCTTCCAGGTTTTCCATGGTGGTGTAGGTTCAATTGACTCATGATCTCAACTATATAAAACTACTAAAATCTCCACAAAACCCACTTCTGATTATGAAAAATATTCGTTCTATCCAATAGATTAACCTCTATGTGATTATTCGGACATTATTTCTAACATACATACATAAAAATTTAAAGCCGGATAAAGAAATCGGCGGTTACCTATCTATTTGTAATTAGTTGTATGTTGAAGTATATAGTCGTAGAAAAAAACTAATAACCATGTATCTTGTATAAGTAATTTGAAGATTAAATTTGTTTGAGTTATCACGTTGTTAATATTCTAAAACGGATTTTGACTCTTTTTAATTGCCATGTGTGAATTTCATGTGGATTGCTGTGATATAGGTTTAGTGTCACAAGTTGTATAAAACAGATAGACTATGGGTGGAAGCTCTCATCATGGACTGATATCAACTGCTAAAACTTTAAAAACCAAAGATTTTTAAACAGTCGTTTGTCCTGGTTTAAAACTATGCAATGCTATGGACCCATGATCCATCGAAGGCTGAACACAGGATCACCTGGTACTAATCCAAGATGTTATAATAGGCATAGAATACCATGAATATACTTATTCTAGAATAAAAAATTTGTTGTCAGTATGGAGTCGTGGAAATTGTTGAGTTTTATTTAAATCACAAACCGATTTATGTGCTATGTTTAAAGTGATTATGAGTTCACCTAATCTATGAACGGAACGAAGATTCAGTAGCACAATGACCAATAGACTAGCTATTCAGATGCTTCCCCAGGCCCGCTAACTAGAGAGAAGTCCAGGCTCAGAAGAGGTAAATGTATCCCACGAGCTGCCAGAAGCACAAACAATAACAACAACTCAAGCGTATACATACAGCATAGAAATTTCCATGGGAAACATTACAAAATGGCATATTAAAAGAGACAACGAACCAGTAACATTTAATGTCCCCTCAAATGGGAAATACGACATGAAGATGAAAATGTGTGATTTTGGCGCGAAAACAAGACGTTCAAATTTTAAAAATAGATTTACAAAAATAAGGCATTTACGAAATGAGTTCTGGGGATCTAATATCCCTAACACTATGACAGACAACCACTGGAAACCTGAAAATTCTGGACGCACATTTCCTCCTAGTTTGAAACTGTTCAGCAGTGTGCATCCACGTCTCCACTACTAGGAATCGAACGCAAGGCTTTTATTTTCACGTGAGAACACTTAACCTCTTAATCACGAAACCGGGACCTGATAATGTGCAAGTCTAACTCAAATGAACCTAATTTATTTCACTACTATTCTCTATCGTATTCGGTAAGCACCTTCCTCACAGCCGACACAGTTGAAGTGCATTGATCACGCTTTCCCACTAGAATTCTGGAAAGTTCCTCTCAAAACTAGTAGCGAGTGAGCACACCATTGAACTATGGCTCAGTGATCTGAAGGTTAGGCGTTCGGACGCGCGGCTGTGAGTCCTAAATTCTATCCCTGGTTGTGGTGTCGTACGTGCTGCTGAGGAGTCCTATTATAGGAAAAATAGTCATCTAGTACTTTCAAGTTTGAAATGGTTGTCTAAGATCGATTCGCGATTGCAAGAAGGGAGTTTTTTTAACTTATCTATTAATAATTTTTCAAATTAAATATTATACTAGTTAAGCATCAATAGATTATTTTACATATCGTATTTCTTTTTTACACAGCAATTAAAACATCCAAATCTGATCAATCTAATTGAAGTTTTCAAACGTAAACGTCGATTGCATTTGGTGTTTCAGTATGTTGATCATACATTATTACATGAATTGGAGAAACATACTAAAGGGTAATAAACTTTTAATAATTTCGGTACATTATGTAAATATGAATGGGTTTTGTATGTGGTATTTTATTCTATAAGTGATATTTGTTATAGATTGTTCTTAGGTAGGGATACCATTGAGAACCAACAAGTACTGAACAGCTGTTCCTACCTAGGATAAGGCTCTTCAACGGCACACATCTATGAATCTGCTAGTGATTGGACCCAATAGTTCCAGTGGTGAAACGTCAACCGTGAAACTTGAAAGTTACGAGTTTGATCCATAAAAAGTTCACGAGTGAACATTGCTAAAGGGTCCTGAATAATATGTGACTTTATGTAATTCATCTTAAACAATTCAATATTAAGTATGGTTTCTGGGTAATATATGAATAAATAAAATGTGAATTGTTGTATTGGATGCTTACTCCATTATGGGACTCTTCAGCAGTGCGCATCCACGATCCCGCCCATCGAGTGTCGAACCCAGGACCTACCAGTCTCGCGCCGGAGCACTTAACCGACAGACCACTGAGCCGGCATCCAACGGTGTTAATGTTTCCAGGTTTTCCATAGTGGTCTCGCTTCAATTGACTAATGATTTCAACTATGAAAATACTGAAACCTCCACAAAACCCCTTCTGCTTACTCTGTTGCTGTAATACTGGGAAATTTGAATGAAGTTTAATTATTAAAGAAATCATTTGATCAGATCATTGAAGGGAGAAGAAATCTGTAGGACAAGTTCAAGCACGCTTTCATTTACAAAATTCTTTAATACAAATTTTTGTTCAAAGTGTACGGTGGCTATCAAGAAATACTCAACAAATATATCCAAAAAACGTGTTATTTAGCACTATTCATAAGTCGTATTCTAAGTGATCCCACTTTATAGTGTGATTCAATAGTTTTATTTTCACGAAACACGGTACTTTGTAATCGTTGACCAATTTTTTATTCCAAAAGTCAAGCAGCCGTCACTCGATAATAAAGAAAATTTGTTCTTTCCATTTACAGTGATTAAGTAAGCTTTACCCTCTAATGATCTGGTACGGCCGAGAGTGGGGAGAGTCCACTCTCCCTTTCGAAATGCTCTCACATGGCCACGCGTATATAGCCTCTTCCAGGGAAGTCCTCTTCACTGCCTTCTCGTGGATGGGGTGTTGTTTACGAAATCGAGAGGACGAAAAGCGAATGTCCGGCGCTTTAACCGGGTTGGTGGACACGGCGAGTCCACCTAGGGGAGTTGGAAAACCCTGATTCCAAACCAATGGTGTGTAGCATCAGTTTATATGTTAAGCCTATATACTTTATTCTAGCTACTGGCCAAGCCAATTCACCAGTACATTGAGTCATCTTTTGATCGTGTTAATCATTTGCTTATTAACTTTGAGTACTTTTTATATTAGCGTATATGTGTGCACACCTCGTATCTTATTCATCATATGTCTGTCACTCATTTTTGTCCGACTATAAATGTTGATTAACGCTTGCTTAAATCAAGTTGGCTTCCCAGCCATCTCCAATACGCGTTGTTTTCGCTTCGCTCTCGAGTTGGCTTCTCAGCCATCTCCAAATGCACGTCACTTTGCTTCTCTCGCTTCTGTTCGCTTCATCGCTCTGATTCCATGGCCAGATCAATGAGTGTAGAAAATATATGTATTCTAATTCCATTCTCGTATTTGACGTATTTAACTCCGTTGTTCACCAACGCGGATTAAGTCAATTATTATATACGAGTATAGACGGAATCAGATTTACGCCGCAACATAACTGGTTAGCCCGACATGCGAACACGCAACAAGAATTGGATGCCTCGACGAGATGAACATGAACCAGAATCGACAACCTCGACATACGAACTCACAACATAATTGGCTTGTCCAGTAGCTAGAATAAAGTATATGGGCTTAACATATGAACTGATGCTACAGGTGCACATGGGCTGGCTTCAGTATCCTGAGGGAACAAATGGCGTATTAATCGATTGTTAGTCACTGTCTTCCATGGGACTGCATCTCCTCATGATGCTCCACTGCCCTGTGGGTCAGACTTTTAGGTCAGAGGCTCGGGGTGTGGTCCCTTAAGAAACCCACTTGCTTCGGTTTGGGCACCTGGGCAGTATCACAGCCCTCACACAAATCAAATGAGATTTGTGTGGCGCATATATATTTGCTGCCCCTTTGTACCAATATTTATGTGTTTAAATAAATAAATAAGGTAAGCTTGATCGTCTAAATGAAGATACAGTGATTACCGATGAAAATCGATAATGATCATATGATATCCTGGAAAGAGAAAAATTGAAAATATAGACTAATCTGTCTCAACACTGGGTTTAAATATATAATACTCACTGTGCGATATAATGATATTTAGTTCAATCTCTTAATGAGATCGCTGATAAAGATTGTTAAGAGATTCTATGCTAGGATAAGGCAGCTATTCAGTAACTTTTAATTTTCACTGGTTAGTTTATCTGCAAATAAAATCTGCCTTCTACTTCTTTAATAGTTTACGAGATATTTCATTGTCTATTATTTAAAGAGTTATACATTAGAAACTAATGATTTACATCATTCAAATAATAAAAGTTAGCTTTCATCAAGAAATGTTATCCGCTAGAGAATCACTCAAAACTATAGGATACTGGACGGATATTTCTTAACGTGGATGACTAACTTTAATACAAGGGATTGGATATAAAGCGTTCAGCTATCATGACAGATATAATACATATTTAAGTCAGTAAGTTTAAACTCAGTAATTAACATTTCCAACCTTAATCAAATTACTCAAGTTTGCCTGAAGCTCAGTCATTATCACTAGTGACATTTATCACACTGTCGACATAGGTTAAACTCCATTGATCTAGGCTTCATAAATGAACTTCACAAACTGATCTTAAAGCTCATCACTATTGAATGAATAATTGTTAAAACAAAACATGGGGCTTGTGGCAATCGATCAACACGAAATTAGTTTATTTTTTCATGGCCTGATTCATCATATAAAGATGTTTGTTAATCTAACAATTAAGCAGAATAATTTCGAATTTGTCTGATGAATTTGCCTTGGATCCATATCAAGTTCAGTCTTTTCTCTGATGACATTCTTCTTTGAATATAAAGTCATCTTATCTTTACAGATATACTTTTTTTCCATCGTTTAATGATATAACATGTCCACTTGATAATCGCAACCAATGGTTATAGAATTTGAACGATATGGCTCAGAATCGTTCGCTTAGATCTGAAGTTCCTAAATGCCTAATAAATTTTTCTAACCATTTCTTTAGTTTTTATTTTGTTCTAGAATTGTATCTCCTAACCCTAACCTTTTCTATTACCACTAATACAGTTACTAATTCTACAGCTCTGAAATTCACCCAGACAATCTTATCTAATTATGCTAACTGGGTTTGAGAACCTGTGCTGATGTACACATGTGACATGTCCTACATGGTGTTTGACTAAATGAGTGATTAATTGTACTGAAAAATCTTTGAAGTTGATTTGTATTCATAGTTAGTTTGATCCCACAGAAATGGTCGTTGGTGAGTACTGATATAAGGAGTCTCTAAAACGAAAAACACAAATGAACAATTTTTAGTGGTTTTTAAGCTCTGATGTCAGTTTATAATGAAAACTATCAACAGTTTACAGAAAGTCTTCACAAATCCCACTTAATTACGTAATAATAGCATGGATACTATTTATCAATAAAAAACATATTCCAAACATTTGGTTTTCTTCTCAAAGTTTTAATAAAACACGTACTTACGCCTGTTACACTTCATGGGGGAGCATAGGCCACCGACCAGCATTCTATATTGATATAAATTACTGAATCCCATGAATCCATAATATTTATTTCGTAGGATAAGACTTTACAAACCAGAAAAAGATATACACGTTATTATGCGAGTGATGTATAAAGATTATTAACCAGAGAATAAGACCAATCAAGTAAATATTTAAAAGTTTCATTTCTAATCCCCAACTTATTTCGACTGTACATAATGTGATGTCCATTGACACAAACAAGGGTAGACAAATGCCCCTCTCATTCATGTCCAACTATTTGTATGTACTTAAATAAACATTCAGAAATATGTGCGTTATAAGGATATGACAGACTTCTACATATTTTATTGGGCACACTCCAAAAAAACTATGCCTCATAGGATAAAAAAATAGTCTTTACAGCTGAAAGGTACACCAAGTGCTAGATAACAGGGACAATGTGGACACATTGAATGTATCTGAAGTGATCAATAGACAATCTAACTCATCTTTATAGATATTCTCTGAAGTCATGGAAATTATGTTTGAACCCGATCTTTGTATTTCGAGAGGCCAGTGGTTAACTTTTCTTTACTTTGGTAACTGAAGTATTTCAACTTCTCGTTTTTTTTTCATTCTTAGTTCTTTAATTAACTATTATGATAATTTAGTTTGTCCAATTCACATGTCTTTTCTACGTACACCTCTTTGATTTTTGTTAGATTTCATAATCTAATCGAAATTAACTTTCTTGATAAATAGAATTATGTACCAAATAATTTAACAATTATTTTGAAGGGAGTTTAGTAATAGCTAACAGCCGAATCCCAAAATCACGTTTCATCTTAGTCAGGACTTATCAGTTAGATGTACCTAGATTCTAGTATTGATGTTCACTCTGAAACTCAAACCCATTAGCTTTCACTTCAAAAAAAAACTAAAGCGTTATCCATTGAGTTACTACGTTCACTTAGCTAGTGGCTTGTACGACGAGGATGAATTTTAATTCATTTGTAAGAGTCATTTGAATGTTGAGGTTTTTGATACTAAGGACTGCAATTGATTAGGCTTTTAAGGTATTTGTGGATACTGGGTGGATTGTTTCAATTTTCCCATTAACTCACAAGCATTTTAAGCGTAGTTGGATAGTCGATTCTAGTGGAATCCAGAATCTAGATATATTCAGCTGGAAAATCCAAAAATAAGGTCAAACACATGTGCTGAATATCAGTTCTAGATACTATACATCTCTAAATTCATTTAGTAGTGTTTGTTTGAATCGTCCCATTGATGTTTAGGACTGCAACTGGTCAGTCACTAATTGGCATATGTGCATACTGTGAATATTGCCTAGATATGGACTTAATTCACAAGCATTGTAAGCAAAGATGGATAGTTGATAGCGGTGGGATCAAGGACGCGCGTTTCGTCCCATTTGGGACTCATCAGCTGGATGTAACTGCATCTCAAAGTTGATGTTCACTCTGAGATGCAGCTGGCGAGTCCCAAATAGGACGAAACGCGCACCCTGGATTCCACTGCTAACCACTATCCATCTTTGCTTACAATGCTATACATCTCTGCTTAAAATATTTGTGACATAATGCCATTATTGAACCAATTCACTAAGGATGCATATTTATCAGAAGCAAACCTATCAATTACAGTCCTCAATATCAACAAAGAAAGATTCAAACAATCTTTGGGAATAAACTAGGTTTTAAAAGTTATTGTTTTAAATATCAAAACTCCATTCTCACATTCTTCTTTGTTTGTTTTTCTTAGATTTAACGGTACTAAATTGTGTACTTTATTTACCCACTCTTGTTTTCTCTCTCATTTCTCTCTCGGTGTCTTACATACACATATACATATACATTTAGATTATCATTATCATTTATTGGACATTGTACAATTTATTTTCCTTATTATCTGAACAACATTATCTCACTAAATATACACAAATTGTAACGATTTTCGAGATAATAACGATAGTAATAATGATACGTTTCTTTTCCTAATAACACTGTTAAGAGGATGATGTTTAGGTAAAGCTATTGCTCAACTATTCTAAATGTAATTTGATCTAGTCAATTTATATAAATGTATCTTTATAAAATGATCTTTAAAATAAGATAATTACTACTTACAGATGAGCTGTATCCTACAAATGTAATACCTCTAACAGTTCCCCTAGTTACTGTCTTTTTTTACTTCCCCCCCCCTCCCTCTCGTTCTTTTCATTACTATTTCCTTAAATTATATTTATTTAGTTAAGAATAGTTAGAGTAATTCAACAAGTTTTATATTTAATGTTTTATTGATGTTGTTTTTGTACGTTTGTTTTTTTAAAATGTCATATGTAAACATTCCCTGTTACTATGGTAACTAATAGAAACTTAAGTTCTCTTTTCTTCTTTATTAACTGATCTTGTTTTTCATCATTATATTTACATAATTGAATTATTTAGATTTTTATCTTAACTTTTAGTATTAACTCTGGTTGTACAATTGTAATTCCCTTTGTTTAAATATAACGTTGGTTAATTTTTAAGTCATTTTAAACAAAAGTAACAATATAGTAACTCAATGTTTACTTAATTATAATAAACTATTTGTGCGGAGGGGGGGGAGTTGTATTTTTTCCATCATGAATATTGGGAATTGAAAATGACCAATCCTTATTGAGATAAATACATCTTGAACATAATAAAACGATATTAACTTAAGATAACGAGGCTTTTACTTAGTATTCCAGTGGTATGTTGTAGTAAAACCTGGGTTACAGATATATTTAGATGACGAGTTCCATATTGGACGAAGTGCGAGTTTTGGATTCCTCTGACAGTTAAAATTTAACTTTAATAAAAACATCTAATTAAATACAATTATCGAGCCAGTTCACTCAAGATCTTCATGTACCAAAAGAGATTGACTGATTGTAGTGCATGATAGCAAAATCTGGAAAATATAAATCCCGTATAAATAACGCATTTAAGCAGTTATCTTATTTATCACCTTATATATCTTCTGACAAAATGAAACACATTCTATTCAAATTCATTCTTACTTACACCTGTTCCCCCTCATGGAGGAAAATAGGCCGTATAACACCATTCTTCATCCAACTCTGTTCCGAACAATCAATTCCAGTTCCTATTCATCATTTTCATGTCTGCTTCCAAGTCTTGATGCAGTATGTTCTTCCGTCTTCCTCTTTTCCGTTTCCATTCACGATTCAAAATCAGCACTTGCGTCATGATGCGGTTTGATGACTGCCGTAATGTATGTCCCACCCACTTCCAAAAACATTACCTAATGTCCTCTTCAGCTCAAAGTTGGTTTGCTCTCTCCTATAGTAGACTGTTGTTGATGGTATCAGGTCAACGGACATTCAGTATCTTACGTAAACAATTGTTTATAAACACTTGTGCATTTTTGATGATGGTTGTAGTAGTTCTCCAAGATTCAGCTCCGTATGGCATATATGAATGGCGAGTCTAGGTCTGTAATCATATACTATCTCAAAGTCAAATTGTAGGTGATAAGTTGTAAATGAGATTCACTATTGAAAGAAGCTAAATACACTCTTAGTTAGGGTCTCAGCCTATGCTTTCTTGTCTGGATCAGAAGAACAAATTTGTATATATCAACAATTTGTGTATTCAATTGTTCGATTCAAGAATAAAAGTTTCCTAACTAAGTCTCGTTCTTTTCATTCTATTTGATAGTTGAGAAAGCGTACAGTATGTCTTTTTATCTGATTTAGTCGTTCACGGGACTTCACAGTTTATCCAGTGGATTAAATAAACTCTCCTACGTTACAAAAGAGGAAATCTTCTCGATAAATTAACCTGAATGGAGTTGTCCAGCTTTATTGTTAAAAAATAAGAATTAAACTAAGCTGTAAACTTCGTCAATAAAATGTAGAAAAACCTATGCGGACACACTATTTAAATCGTAAAAAGCTTACAAAGAGATCCAAATCTTCCTAGTTCGATGTGTTCAGCGTGTAACAAGCTTTTTCCTAAGTCATAAACTTAAAGACTCCTCAGCAGTGCTCATCCACGATCTCAAATCGCGACATTCGAACCCAGGACCTATCAGTCTCGCGCGCGAGCGCACTGCTGAGGAGTCCCACAATAGGACGAAATGGGTGTTCAGTGATTCCAGATTTTTCATGATGGTCTAGCTTCAATTGACTCATGATTTCAACTATATAAAATATATGTATATGTGTTCATTCTGTTCATGACAAATAATAATAATACTTAATAAACTCATTAGATATACACATACCTAAGTACAAAAGCACGTTCATAAAAACACAACCATACTTATGAGTTGTAGGCCTGTTCAGCAGATAGTCAACACTAACAATACACTCATAACCCATAACTAAATATTATAGATGTATATTCTAGATTCTGCATTACTTGTAGACAGCTGACTGACTCAATAATCAATACTCACTCGGTTCATAAAAAAAATTCAAACTATCTGCGGTATCCCTACTTATACCATATAACTTACATCACTCATCAGCCACAATTTATCATTGTATCAATCAGCATTATTTTATAAAGCAAACAAATGCGTTCATCAATCATGAACCAATAATCTGTTCACCAATTAATATTTTTATCCATACAGTACAGCCAATATGTTTTGGTATTTAGGTAATCACATCAGCTTGTACACTGAAATCCCAATACGTCAATGTGTATTGACGCAGACGGGATTTGAATGTTACAAGAAAATGTTTTTGGCTATTGATCTCGTATTGTACATTACACATTATTTGCTTAACAAGGGTTTTATGAAATTAAAATGATACTTAGTTATGTCACATCAACAGGTTGATAGTCATTTCACGACAAAACACTATAATTATCCAGTTTCAGAATAGTACTGTTGATAATAGATAGATACCACTCATTTCACTGGAAGAGCTCTTAGTCTTCTACCAGCTCACTAGTTATGATATAAAAATGAATTTGATAAGTATAAAAATGATCAAGGAAGACAGTATGTTAGTATACTCATGGAACGAATCACCAGAATTCAAAACTTAACATACCACATTGGTAGTTTACCGGTTGAATACATTATCAATGAAATTAAACATATTGTTCCTTTCTGAGACATCCAGTCAAGATGGAATGATTTATTTCATGTCAAACAAGTAACAAAAATGAAGGTCACAGGGTGGAAAATGTTTTGTTTTTACTTCTGACCGTTACATCACAGTGGTAAAGTATATCTGTGTACTTCATCAAATGAATATTAAGAAATCAGCTTAGTTGTACTTTGTTGAAGAATTGAGTTCTTCATTAATACGGTTTCATGTTAATTCTTCGGGTTTTCTTTTCCAGGTTGGATAGATTACAAATCCGAAAATTAACATATCAATTATTACAAGCAGTGAATTTCTGTCATGCACATAACGTAAGAGAATATTATTAAGTGTATATATCATATAAATTCATGTTGTATTGTTTGTGTGTATCTTCCCATTAATGCTTAGAACTGTTACTGATCAGTCTCTTATCGGCATATGTGTATCCTGTACGGATTATCTCGATATTGCGTAAAGTCACAAGCGGATAGGACAAAACATGGGTCCTGGATTTCATTGCTAGCCACTTTCACATTTATCATATATGTTAAAGAACTGTTTATGTCATTCAATACTATCTTTTTTTTGTTAAGCTACTGAACTGAATCGGTCAACTTCTTTGAACCAATAGCATTTATCGACATTAGATCTTTATCTACCCTTTAATAATATGAATAGTATCAAGGAAAATATTATTTGATTAAATGAGTTTCTTGTATCGATTGAGTGCGTACGTGACCTGTTTGATATATATGAACGTGCTGATTCCCATCAACGAGAGAGTAGTGGATTTATTGATTGCCCAGTGATACACAAAAGCTGTATGAGCAGTCTTGAGTACTTATCAGTCCTGTTTTCTGCCTAGCCCAGCCAGTTATGTACAGAACACCAATAACAGCCTCTGTAATATGAATCATTATTCTCAAACATACTGAGTTTATATACCAAACAAACTGACCACATCGTACCATAAAATAGAAAAATAACATATGTACAAGATTTAGCCAAACGTGGCTGTGAATAGGGGGAACAGTATTCAATAGACTGAGGATAACTCAAGAATGGCGAATCGTATAATAATAGTTCATAGGTCAAAATAAAGCTTATAATAAGAGGGACACGAATATGAATAATTTAGTAACTCAACAATCATACTATAGGAAATATATATATCACATTGGTCCATAAATAGTTCTCATGGTTACCATTCATAAATCTCCACGGAGTATGAAAGAGTTGATAAGATTAGTTGTGTTGAGAGTGAAACATTTACTCACTACAATAACACTAAGTGAATGTTACACTGTATGGTTGAATTGACTGCAGTAAAAAGGTTAACCACTTTACTTCAACCTACTTTTTAAGTTGTATTATTCTTATCTTCGGAACCCAATGTTTAGTGTTCGATTTATATAGGTTAGTGAGTGAGTGAATGGATATTTCTTTGACTTAAACTAGAATAAAATCAAGGACTTTCTTTTTGTCCTAATCTAGACTTGTCAGTTAGATGCACCTGCACTCAAATTCTAATGTTCAATCCGGGACTATAATCCAGTGACTTTAGCTTCAAACGTCAATGTGTTGTCCAATGAGCTGCTGAACTCAGATAACCACTGGCTTATGTAATGAGTGTGTATTTTTAGTTTTAAGAATTTTTTTCGTTGTTTTTGACTTGTAATTTGGATGCAGCTGTGAATTTCTGAACTTGGTAGTTTATTGAATAACTCCTTGATGTTCGAACCAAAAGACAATTAGTTCGAGTCCCAGTATGGTCATCAACACCGATATACGGATTCATCCATTCGACAACTCCTAGATGGGGTGAAACGCATGTCCTATATTTCATTGCTGAACACTAACCAATTTTAATAATCTGTTGATATTATTAAATATTCTGAATGTATATTTGTCTATAATTTAATCCGTTAACTTATGGTTATTTGTATTTTAGTGCATTCACCGTGATGTTAAACCAGAGAATATACTTATTACAAAATCTGGTCAGTTAAAGTTATGTGATTTCGGTTTTGCAAGATTATTAAGTAAGTTTAACTTCTTCAATTTTACATTATTTGTTTTGATAACAATAATATAGTAGTCAGTATGGGGTTATGGAAATTGTTGGATTCCATTGAAATTATTGACCGATATAAGTTACATAACCGTTTAAAATCTGGAAGCCTTGGACAGCCATTTCGTCCTAGTATGAGACTTTTCAATAGCGTGCATCTATAATCCCACAACCGGGAGTCAGACCCATGACTCTTGATTTCACGCGCTAACAATTAACCACTAGACAACTAGGCCCTGAACCAGTGGTGTATAACTAACTACAATCAATCAGCAATACTTTGTAATCAATGTAGTTCAATCGTGTCGGAGGTAAGCGAGTTATCGAAAACAATGGAAGACGGTCGTGTGACAGTGTAAGTTGATTGAAGTTAAACTAGTGTACCATAGGATCCTGGTTTAGTAGTCTAAAAACTAGGAGTTCACATGTGAAACTGAAGGTTCTCGAACCAATTCTTGGTTGTGGGTTTGTGTATGTGCACTACTGAGGAGTCACATTCTAAAACGAAATGGTTATCCAGCACTTCCAGGTTTCCAATGATTATCTGTTATAGATCGGTCCATGGTTTGAATTCAAATAATATACGATCCCTCTGATTTCGAACCTTTAATTATGGTTCTTCATTATACTTTGTTTGGATTTAATTCTGTTTTTCTTAATTCTCAATAGAATTTAGGTATTGTAAGCAAAGATGGATAGTGGCTAGCAGTGGAATAAAGTTTGATGCGCGTTTCGTCAGCTGAATGTACGTGCATCTGAGTTGATGTTTACTCTGGGACTCGAACTCAGTACCTTTTGCTTCAAACGCCATCGCGTTATCCACTCAGCTACTAAGTCCTGATAGCCACTTGCTTGTGCAATGGGGTGAAGTTTGAATTCACTTAGTATTGTTGGTTTGAATCTTCCTATCAATGGGATTCCACTGCTAGCCACTATCCATCTTTGTTTATAATACTTGTGAATGAAAGCAATATCGAGGCGATAAGCACAGTATGCACATATGCCAATAAGAGACTGACCAGTTCCAGTCCTAAACATCAATGGGGAGATTCAAACAAGCAATACTAAGTGTATTTTTAAGATAATTTTCATCACAAAGTAAAATCAATTTAAAAGATAGTGAAAAAAACAGAAAGCTTTACATGGGTAGATCTTTTCATAAATGTATAGTGATTAATTTTGACTATACAAAACTAAATAAATCATGAGTGAGAGAAATATCTACCAAAAAGTTTTGATGCTATAATTTGTATCATAAGTCAACTGGAGTTAGGCCAATGATATTCAACGCAGTGGTTCAATAGGTTAGTCATAAACAACCTAGAACCTGGTACATATTTGTATCATTTCAAGCTGCCACACCATATCAACACAATGAAATGAAATTATCTAGAAGAATTCTAGATAGGGATAGATCAGATGGGGTTTTGTGGAGATTTCAGTATTTTCATAGTTGAAATCATGAGTCAATTAAAGCTAGACCACCATGGAAAACCTGGAATCACTGTCGGCCGTTTTGTCCTATTATGGGACTCCTCAGATGTGCGCATCCACGATCCCACCTCGCGAGATTCGAACACAGGACCTCTCAGTCTCGCGCCCGAGCATTTAACCACTAGACATCTGAGCCGGCATCCAATGGTCTTAATGTCTAAATGTGTTAATGTCTAGGAATATTTAATGCATCTGTATTACTGAGACCAATTCAGATTCATGTCTTCTAACGTCACTAATCATTGATCATAATAATTGCTCTCACACCATTTATGTAGTCTACACCTACCAACCTGACTAAGCCTAGTGATGAAATAGTGTTATACTCGCTAGAAGATTTGAATGTTGTCAATTAGATCTTAGATAAGGTAGTTGATGTTATTAATATTAAACATTGGGTTAAAAACACTACCAGTTATTTTAGATTATATATTGATTCTCTGGTTTTAATATTAGTTCCTGTTAAAAGTGGTTTTTAAATTGATTAAATTCTTATAAATCACTTAAATAGGCTTAATATAATCATTATTGGTGTGAAATTTCTTCATTCAGGATTTACAGTACTTTTTATCTGCTTAAGCGCTCGCGCGCGAAACTGATAGGTCCTGAGTTTGAATCTCACGAGGCGGGATCGTGGATGCGCACTGCTGATACATATTTACACTTATATTCCCTAGCTTATTTATTATTTCCTACTATTGAAACTTTAAAAATGACTTGGCTTGGGGCTTTTACTTGTCTGATAAATTATATCATAATCCCCTATCTACTTAGTGTAAAATATTTTAGAAACAAAAACCCACAATATCTTTTGTTGTAGATAATATAGCCTAAGAGATAGTTCAATTCAGTGACTTGAAATGTTATCAGACATGACTTAGAATAGTAACCTATAGCGAGCATGCTATAGTTGTCAATTAATTTCTTCATAATAATGAAATTTTTATGGTTAGCGTTTTTTAGCGAGTTAGTTTTCTACGGGATGGGGTCACTAACCCCATGCCCAACCCTCCTCCTTTATTCGGTCTTGGGACCGACAACAGCCCGCGGAGGAGTTACAGGCGGAGTTATAATAATGAAATAATCTTCATTAAATAAAAAAATAGTCTTTCTTGATTGTATCTTCAACTGAACTATATCATACATACAGTATCTTTCCAATTGTCAATCAAATGTCATACTCTTTTCCGTTATCATCCACTTGAGCTAAAAATATTCTCAACCATAGTTTTTTCTTATAAATTTATCGAGTCATTTGTATGGTAGATTATTTTTCAGTATCCTACAGTATTAGAAATCTATGTTACTTTAAATTGGATACATAAATACATAGTCTTGTTTTGTCAATCGAGATAATGTAAATGAGATGAAGATTAGCGAACACAATATGACCACATATATACATGTTAAGAATATATATACATAAGAAAATAGAAAAACAATGATAATTAAGAAAACAATATGAATTACATCACGTTGAATAATAAGTTAAAAGTACCTCTTAGAATGATTATTGATATTTGTATGTCATTATATCTCATCAATAACTCTCTACTATTATTTCCTTTCAAAATGACTAGCAACTTATTATTATCAGAAAGGGGTTTTGTGGAGATTTTAATAATTTTAAATAGTTGAAATCATGAGTCAATTGAAGCTAGACAACCATGGAAAACCTGGAATAACTGAACGGCCGATTCGTTCTATTGTGGGACTCCTCAGCAGTATGCATACATGATCCCGCCTCACATGATTCGAACTGAGGACCTCTCAGTCTCGCACGCGAGCACTTAGCTACTAGACCACTGAGACGGCATCTGATGGTGTTAATGTCTAACTTCAACTAATCCACGAAATTGAGAAACCATTCACCAATGTCTTCAGTAAGTTGATATCTCCCAACAGACCTGGTTGAACTCCACTGGTTACTGCTTCTCACTAGGACTCCAGGAAATACCTCATGGAGCCAGTATCAGGTCTGTTGTGAGATATCAACTTACTGAAGACATTGGTAAATGGTTTCTCAATTTCGTGGATTGGTTGAAGTTAGACATTAACACCATCAGATGCCGTCTCAGTGGTCTAGTAGCTAAGTGCTCGCGTGCGAGACTGAGAGGTCCTCAGTTCGAATCATGTGAAGCGGGATCATGTATGCATACTGCTGAGGAGTCCCACAATAGAACGAATCGGCCGTTCAGTTATTCCAGGTTTTCCATGGTTGTCTAGCTTCAATTGACTCATGATTTCAACTATATAAAACTTATTATTAGATAATGGCAATGTGAAATATAATTATGAGCTTGAACTCTTTTGACATATTAATGGCATGATATTAGATAACCCTTTAGAATCACTGTTAGTTGATGTATTTATGGTATTTGTTGAAAGTTTACTTGGAGACTCAATTTAAGAGATATGCGATATGTGGATGGAATCATAATCATAAATGACAAACATAAAAATAAGAACGGCTGGTTAAACGAATTCAACATAATTCGAAAATATGTTTGCCTTCCATGTGAACAAAAGATGAATAAGTAACTCACGTTGTAGGGCTCACTAATTTGTAGAAAAGTTGATGGTTCTATCAAACTTTTGGTTTGTAAAAAGTCGAAATTAATAGGTCAATATCTCAGTTTTCATAATCGCTAGCCATTTCAGTGCAAATGTAGGGTTAATAAAGAGACAATCGTATGTGCACTAGGGATACAATTGAGGGAAAAATAAAGCTCTTAATTGAAGCATTTATGAAAAATGTTTATTCATTAAAGTTCATGAACCGATGGGAAGGTAGCAATATGACGATACCTACTAAACTATTGGCACCCAAAAACGTTTTTATATCACCCTGTAATTTAGAGGTAACTCAAATAGACTTAAGTTGAAACGTAGACTTAAATTAGCGATAAATGTTTGATCAAAAACTCAGGCACTATGTAGGCACTTGTGTCACATCCTACTGTGTCTACCAGTTTATATGTTATATGTGGAAATACATACATAAGGAGGAGAAATTGTGATCTGAAAGTAAGGGTGCCTGAACACATATCTAGGTAGCTACATAAATGAACGAATTTCAATAGTCAGATAAAAGCACTGAATAGACAAACATATTCTATTGTAAAACATTTGGTTCTGACAGATTACTGTATAGACATCAAATTAGACCTTTAAGTACTGTTAAAGTGTTCAGGGTGCATACTGAGGTTTGTTGAAGCCTTTTCCATAAAAAACATTTAAGTTCCCTCTATGTGTTCAAAAATAATTTTTCCCATCCTGAGCCTACCTTAGCTGTATTGATTTATTGTCCAACATGCCAAGATTCACATTGTTTTCTTCATTATCCTCGTTTCCCCTTACTTTCTGATTTGTTTGGAGATGAAACCGCTAATATATAGTATATAGATCTGTTAGCCTTCATTTTCCTATTGGATTATTTAAAATCCCGAAGTTCACTTTTCAGTTCCTTTCTATTCTCTTCATTAGCTGGACCAGGTGATGAATATACTGATTATGTGGCAACACGATGGTATAGAGCACCAGAATTACTCGTTGGTGATACACAATATGGTACACCAGTAGATATATGGGCTATTGGATGTGTTGTTGCTGAAATGTTGACTTCTCTACCACTATGGCCTGGTCGATCAGATTTAGATCAATTGCACTTGATTACACAAACATTGGGTAATTAGTAGATTAGATTATGGGTCATTTTTATGCATACTATTGATTTATTGGATCTATATGTAAGCGGTTGATATTGTTTTCTCCTAAGGTTTGGAGAAGAAAATAATTAGTTTGTAATCAGTGAAAAAAAGACAAACCTCACCAGTAATATTTACCATTGGTTACATGATACCTTAAAAGTTTATTATATTTGAAGATGTTGCTCCGTGAATTTAAAAGTAATGATTTCAATGTATTATAGTTACCGTGAGAAGTAAGGTTTTGAGTTGGATCTCATTTTTGAAATGTAAGTATACATAGCTGAATTGTCTTAAACTGTCCACTGAGCCCCAGTTTTTAGCAGTTTTCCAAATGACTCCACTTCATGATTTAATCTAACTTAAAAATGAACTAGTCTTCACAGAATGCTCATCTTTATTGTTGTGACATATGATGCCTGAGAGGTGATACTATACACGAGTCCAGCTATCTGAGAGAAAAGACAGAATGGGAAGAAAGTTTATTTTGCTAAACTTAACAACATGCACATGCACCCATTCATATATTAAAATCGGTATTTGTCAATCTCTAAGGTAATTAAACCATCATTACTTTACATATATATAAATATATATATATCAGGAAGAAAGCCGTTTCTTGGCCGATTATATGCATTTATCATTTGGCTGATTTCTAAATGACCCAATGTATTACATTTCCTTTTTGAAAATATTAGTCTATTATTCGAATTTAACTAGTGTTGAGATGAGTGTACAATACTGTTATAAACGGTAGGATACTTGTTATAACTCTAGGGTTTCTTGTTATAACAGTCCTATCACTTTTTACACGTATATGGGACATTAATTTATCTTAGACGAATATCTACACTAGATTCCCACCTAGTATCTATTCTACAGGACTTCAACACACAATTCAGATCAAGAACACAAGATTAGTCTGACTATAACGTCAATATATTTCCACACACCCAAAATGCGACACAATCCAATAACAAGGAACAGTTAATCAATAATAATCGAGATAGGGGTCTCTATAACATATATAACACCTGTCACACTATCTACATGTCTGACTCAGCATAACAACCAATCATTATCATTCTCGCCCACACATCAAAATACTCTTCATCAATGAATGCACAAATTAATTGAAAGGAACTTAATCACTTTTTTTCTTCATATATTTTTGTGTTTATATAGGTGATTTGGTACCACGTCATAGAGAAATTTTTGAGAAAAATTGTTTTTTTAAAGGTTATAAATTAATTGTTCCCGAAAATCGAGTAAGTATCATGGTTACATGGTTACTTTGATTAATTTGAAAAGGACAAAAAAAGTAAATAATAATTTGAACAGAATAACATGGATCCATTTTTATGCGGAGATGGACGGTTGTTAGCAGTGGGATCTAGAAAGCACTTTTCGTCCTATTTGGGACTCATCAGCTGGATGTACCTGCTGATCAATCGCAGTCCTAAACATCAATAAGATTTAAACAAACAATACAAAATAAAATGGATCTATTTTGTTCTATTTCTAGGCCTTCATTAACCATATACAACTCATTACATTTATTTGAAAAGAAGCTATAGAATAAGTTAAAAATACCGAAATGTGAACACATACATTAGCATTGTATAGAAAAGATATTAAATAAAATTTCAGAAATTGTTTTGGCTTTATGAGCTGGTACTATATCAAACCCATATAGGTTATTCTAGCCTCTGGACAGACCAATCTACTGGTTCTTCTCAAACCACATTTTTACCCTGTAACTTGTTCACTTATTATTCCTGACTTCTATATGATCGTACATGTGCTAATTAATTACCCTACTCATTATGTGTCTGTAGCTTATTTTTGTTCGACTATAAATATTGATTCACTCTTGGGTAAATTGAGTTGAATAAGACGCCTTCTCCAACATGCGTCGGTTTCGTTTCCTTCTACTCTCTCGTTTTCGCTTTCTTCTCTTCATTTCTTTGATCGTCTGCTTGGATTAATGATTGTATGAAATATACATATTCTAAATTTCATTCTCTTAGTTGACTTATTTAATCCCGTTATTCACTAACATGATCTAAGTTGATAATTGTATACGAGAAATGGCAACATGTATATTTTGATAACAATCAGAAACAATGATAACTGGAATCAGATACCGGGTAACAAAAAATCATTGTTACATTCGAATTAATTACCAATCAAGTTTGTTTCTACAACGTATTTTCTATAAAATTTATAATTTTGGTTGTTTTTTTTAAAATTTGTATGCTTTTGTTGATGAGATCCTAAGGGGATAAAAATAATTCTTACGTTTGTTCTTATCATTTACTGATTTAATATATGTACATAATTTATTGCCCCTGAATGCCTTGGTACGGCCGAGAGTGGGGAGAGTCCGCTCTCCCTCTTAAAATGCTCTCACATTGCCATGCGTATATAGCCTCTGTCAGGGAAGTCCTCTTCACTGCCTTCTCGTGGCATTACTGTTGTTTACGAAATTGAGAGGACGAAAAACGAATGTCCGGCGCTTTAACCGGGTCGGTGGACACGGAGAGGCCACCTAGGGGAGTTGGAAGACCCTCATTCCAAATCAATGGTGCACATGGGCTGGCTCCAGTATTGTAAAGGAACAAATGGCGTGTGAATCAATCGTTGGTTACTGGCTACTATGGGACTGCATCTCCTCACGATGCTCCACTGCCCTGTGGATCAGACCTTTAGGTCAAAGGTTCTGGGTGTGGTCCCCTAAGAAAACCACCTGCTTCGGTTTCGACACCTGGGCAGTATCGTAGCCCTCACACAAATCAAATCAGATTTGTGCGGCGCATATATATCTGCCCCCCCTTGTACCAATATTTATGTGTTTAAATAAATAAAAACATAATTCACTTGATCATTAAAGTAGGAATGTAATACAATGTAAATATTTGAATAGATTTGTTATCTTAGTCACATTTATGTCTAGTGAATACTTAACTAGTTTGTACTTCATACTAAAAACCTGAATCCAATGATGCGTAATGAAAACTAAGAAGAAAAAAGAACTGATAGTTGGTATTAGTCACAAATATCTGCATGATATTAATATTACTTAGTTAAATAGTTGAGCTGACCCATATGTATAAGATATACATTGAAATGTATTCTATTATGCCCATCCTAATTCATTTGTAAATCAGCTACATTTGAGTCAAATAAACTGGGCCACTTAGAAGTTGTATCCCCATATTCGTATTATATTAAGATGTAATAGTAAATTTATACATATATTCCATCATATTTTTTAGATTGATGACCATATTCTATTTCTTAATCCGTTGCTTTATTATTTCCGTAGAAAGATTTGAGTGAGAAATTCACTTCGTTACAACCGCCAATTACTTCGAAAGAATTAAATTTTTTACAGGTAGGATAATAGGTTATTATTATGTTTATGATAGTTATGACTGATACTATATGAAAGTGTTATAAATATTTTCAGAAGGGGATTTTGTGGAGATTTAGTATTTTCATAGTTGAAAACGTCAGTCAATTGAAGTTAGACCAACATGGAAAACCTGGAAGCACTGGACGGCCGTTTCGTCCTATTGTGGGACTCCTCAGCAGTGCGCATCCACCATCCCACCTCGCGAGATTCGAATCCAGAGCCTACCTGTCTCGGGCCAGAGCACTTAACCGATAGACCACTGAGCCGGCATCCGATAGCCGTCCAGTGCTTCCAGGTTTTCCCTGGTGGTCTAGCTTCAATTGACTCACGCTTTCGATTAAAATTATTTACTGAAGAAAATAATCCCCCTTCAAATGATTTTTATTTTGACTGAATTCAATCGTATGAGAATGGAGTATACCAACTATAAACTGATTTATTTATTTAAGAGCAAGCAACATCTGCCTTGTATTATAGAATGATATTACATCACGTGGTTCAGTAAACTGCAATAAATGCTTGAACCTTATATATACTTATATGTAGAGATCAATGTGTGCTAATTTTCATTGAGCCGATATTCCCAATCTACAATTATGTACAACAGCGTGCATACGCAAACTAATAACCAAGAGAGAGTTACATATAATCCTATTGGAAAAATAATAACTAAATGGGGATTTGTGGAGATTGTAATAATTTTAATAGTTGAATTAATACGTCAATCTAAGCTAGATCATTACTGAAAATTCCAATTCTAACTCTAAAACCTATGCTATGAATTCTAATCTTAAATACTGAGTCTGAATCTTAATCATGGCATCATAAGTCGGTCATTGATATTTCCAGTATTCTTATTGGCTGAATAAGTTAACAGCTTGTTATTTTAGTTCACAGATCCCCTCAAGCTCATCCTTTAAGTTTAGCTTTGTCAAATAAGTCAATGATCCGCCTACTCAAGGTATCAGTCTACACATCCTTGTCTAAGTCAGAAGAACTACTGTATACATGCCTATGATTTTTGTGCATAATAGTTTCGTTTAGTGATTAGACATTCACTCACATTTCAGTCTTCTAATTTACATAGTAGATTGAGTATCTCGTGGTCGGAAAACTCCAAGTCATTCAGTTCTTGTTATTAAATGCTAGTTCCATAACTATTCAATTATTTATTCTCATTAAATTTAGAGCTGTCTAAGCATGGATCCTACAGAACGACTTAATAGTGAGTCATTATTAAAACATCCATACATGGAAATGCACGGAAGACATCCACAATATTATCATGGTGAATTAAAACAAGTATATAGTTCATGTGGAGATGGTTATAATAATCATGGAATGAAAAAAAAATCTGAACGTAATTTCCCTCAAAATTCACAAAATAAACCAGTTATGATTAATCAAATTAGTACCGGGACAATGATCCCAAGACGTAAATATCAACAACAGCAAATTCCACAACAGTCTACTGATCGAAATCAAACAACTGGTACACCACAAAATGAGACCAATTCAATTTCACCGACATTTTTCCCTCCAACTAGTAGTATTACACCAAGTTTTAATGCTGGTCGAACAAATTGGTTTGTTCCAGGAATTGTTGGTCAAAGTCTATATAATGTATGTACAAGTAATCAGTTAAAAGAATTATTTATCAAAATGTATTATTATTATTATTGTACTTTAGTAAACTTTTACACAGATTAGTTTTAACAGCTACTTAAATGAATCAGATGTAAAATGAACCTTTGAAGTTAAATCTATGAAATAACTTTACATCATTACGAATTGAATTTCTCCAGATAATCATTGGTTTTGATGTAACAAGCCCAGAAGTTCCTGCCTGTTTGATCTTTGATACAATTGTCAGTTCAATGTGCTAAATATTGTATAACGAGTTGAAATATCTATTCAGAAATTGTTTAACTAAAATCAGCTCGTGAAGTAAGGTACAACAATCTCATAACCAAAATAATTAGCAGTTATAAATCTCGTTTAGAGTCAGTCAGTCACAACATAGAACTTCGTACGTACGTACATCATTTCGAGTTGTCACACCACATTAGCACAGAGATGCAGTTGTCGATTCAAATCATATAGTGGTAGAAGTAGTAAGAGTATAAGCAGTAATCAGAAAGATTAGGGTTCGAAGATGTTATTGAAGGAGTATAATCCAGTGAAATAAATTTGGAGAGAAAAAAAAGATAGAGACATGAAGAATTCAGAAGATTAGAATTTGGTAGAACACAAAGAGTGGATGCACCTTCGCCATTGCAAACGATTTTGAGCCATGTCATTCAAGGTCTCTAACCATCGATTGCTATCATCTCAACCAGGTAGTCTACACCTACCAACATGGCTCAGTCCAATTGTCAGTGACTTCACGGATTTGTGCCGATTAGTGTAGTTCCCCCCAAAAAAGGCAGATGGTAAAAAGAGTTGGTTATCAATCATTATAACGTAACACTATTCCCCTAAAGGCTTGTATAGAATCAAGCTTGTGATAGGATATTGTCTCCTAATTGTTCAATTTTGTCTTTGATGTATTTACATTAATAAGTATAAAGCCTTTGAAAATTCACCGGAAATATCAGTAAATAAATTATTCTTCTACCACTCAATATCTACTTGCTTTCAATTTCATAAGACTAAGTGTATGGTATAGTTAATAAATTTATATTCGAACTCTTCAACTAAGCATATGACCAATTCACACATTCAATTGTCCTCACTCGTGTTCTTGTTCACTACAACATGAATGATCTTATACGGCGGTATTTTTCGAGATTAAAATCGGAAAATTGGTAACACGTCTTTCAAAAAAAAGCCAGTAAACATTTCCAAAATCATTGTTTACTCTTACCCCCCATTTTCCAGTCTAGTTGATCTTTTATTTTTATACATAAATGTTCTTAACAAGTATATATGTGATCAGATTGTTCGAAATTTATTGCGCTAATATATCACCTAGTTCTGATAATCTTCATTTTCTTATTACACTATCGCAATTTATCAAAGGGACTAATTGCTTTACATTCCTTTTGTTGCGAAATACTTTTGATTCATACAGACTCTTTGCTAATTGGTGAAAGTTAGCTTTAAAATAGCTCACTTATGTTAAGAATCTTTCAAAATTTTCCCTATATCATACTTTTAGGTAGATATATAAATGATCCAACCAACAAGTCACCCCCCCCACCAGCTGTAATAGTTTTCTGGACATTCTTTAAAGCATATTAGTCCTAATGTATCATGAAATTATGCTCGAAAAAATCTCTAATTCATTAACCTTTTTCAATGTTCTTTATTTACACATTTATCTTTTTTATCAAATCATCGTTGTAGCCATCGCAAATAGGATTGCCTGCTCTGCCAACCAATCCACATTTACAACCAATCCCAGTAACGACTACCTCTACAACATCAAACAATAATCCTCAATCAATGATGATGGTAACAGGTAATCAAAAATCTAATTTAGGATGGAAATATACTAAATCCAATCAAATGATTATAGCATCAACAAACAATAATAATTCAATCCCGTATTTCCCAAATCCGGACAGTAATAATAACAATAATAATAATATAGACAATGGGCATAATTCTAACGATACAAACGTTACAAACAATACACTTCAATCAAATTTAACTGGATTACACCTACCAAATATATAAAATAAAAAACAGCGTCTTTTCCTCTACACTTTACCTCTCCCTCTCTCCAACACAAATTTAGTGTAAATGTGTTACATATATGGTTAGTAGTAGTAATTAGTAAATTATCTAACTACATTGAATCACTGATGTTTTCATTTCCCTCTTTCTATATTATCTTACAATATAGACCCTTATCAAAGATTATCCTTCCTATTGATTATAATGAAAGAAATTGTATATAAACTTAAACAAATAATAATTATTTATAATTATCTCTTTATTAAAATCACTTTCATACAGATCTGTGTTTTGTTTTAATGATTGTAGGTATGATATACTGGTTATGGGTTGAAAATTTATCACAATTGATTGTTCACTGGGTGGTGATCAATTGTGATTACATCTCAGTCCTACAGAAGGTCGGTCGCGACCCGAGTAGCTCAGTGGTAACGCCTCTGACTGTGAAGCTGAGTGACACGGGATTGAATCCTTCAGGGAGAACCAGTTCCTTTAAGATTACAGGTACACCTTGCTGACGAGTGCCGAGTAGCACGAAATCCGGGTCCAGAGTTTCCTGTTGACCACCTTTAACTACCATCTTATAAAAATCTATGCTATAGAATTTAAACAGGGTTCTAAAGCACATTGATCTGTTCACGTAGTTATAGTTGGTCGTCAGAAAAAAAGACTAATGAAAACTATCCGAGTCATCAGATATCAATACAGTACACGATGTTAAATCATCTAGGCTAGAGGGTATATTACAATTTGTTGATTGATAGAATTGAATTGCTACTGAGGATTGGACAAAAGTAATATTAATTGAATTTGAAATGGTTTGGATTATCCAGTTGTTTATATTTATGACTAGATTCTAACCAATCCAAACCATTTTTAATTAAACTAAATATCATATATGTTGCACAAGTGAAGGACTATCTGGACGGTACTCGTTTTTAGTCCTAGAGTGAACATCGACTCTGGAATGCATGTTCATATGACTGACGAGTCCCGAGTGGGATGAAACACGTGTTTTTAGTTTTGCTATCATCCACACTTTATCTAGTCTGTATCAAACACCATGTGAGTCACAGCTCTGTGATTAAACATTTGTATACACTGATCAGTCATTCATTCTTTTATATCCAAGTGTTTAACAACGTATGTATATTCCATATGGGATATATATCCGTGAATTTGTAAAGCATCTCCTTCCCAATTTTCAATATGGATGGAATATCTAGCATTTTTTTATTCATTTATCTAGTGAATACTGAATAAAAGAGCGTAATTTCCACTGAGGATTCCAGTTTCAACTCCGTCTTTCACTTAGTTTGTATTTTTCATCCTGCTGGTTGGAATAAGTCGTAGTAATATGTTCACAGAAGACATATACAGATATTTTTAGATGATTGACATGAAGTTTCCATTGAAAATTACACTTTTATATGCATCAGAAAACACTAAATGAATGGAAAACTGCTCGTAAATGTTAGATATTTAACTTTTATTGAACAAATGGCGTATGAACCAATCGTTGGTCACCGAATACCATGTGACTGCATCTCCTCACGATGCTCCACTGCCTTGTGGATAAAACTTTTAGGTCAAAGGCTCCGGGTGTGGCCCCCTAAGAAAACCGCCTGCTTCAATTTGGGCACCTGGACAGTATCACAGCCCTCACATAAATCAAATGAGATTTGTGCGGCGCATATATATCTGCTGCTTCCTTGTACCAATATTTGTGTTTAAATAAATAAATAATAAAATCACATACCTCTTACATCTATATATGTACATAAACGGTTTTCTATGGATATCTTTTGTCGTTGCTTAATTCATCAGAAAAGACAACCACCCAAATAATTATGATTCACTCTATCTTTTAAGTCTGATAATTTTTTGCCAAAATTATATACTACTTTTGTAAAAGATGAGTATTTTATGGTTTGTGTCATAAATTTATTCGTTTGTAAACCTTCACATTGATTTACTCCTATCATAATTCATAGTAGAACTGAAAATCAGTTATAAACACAGATGGTCTTTCTTCACAAGATGATAAATACTATGAAATAATACCTAATTCTTACATAAATGTGACCTGAATGACAATGTACACATATATAAAGAAGCGATGGTAATTATGAATTCGAATAACATAAAATATGGGAAACATTAAGTCCCAATCGAAGTCAACTAACACAGAATCTGACACAGGTATGTATTAGTCAAAGTTGTCACAGTTTACTACTTCACAGTAGAGAACAGAATCATTAAGATTAGACCAAAATAATAGAAATGTTATAACGTCGGTTTTGTCTGACCAAGTGAAACCTTTCAACTCAGTTATCCAACTAACGATAAAGAACCCAGTCTAACAAGAGCAAATGTATCTCATAAAAAAATATAAAGCGATGAAGATATGCATTATGCCATAAACATGCAACATAATAGATATATATGCTTGTGTTCATTGATCAATCACTCCTTACTTTCGCCAGACACATGAAGAAAACAATACCGAGTTAAACAGGAAGCTAAACTTGGCAAGTATATACTGTGATAAGGAAAAAATGAGATGGTAGCATACAAAGTCAGGAACAAAAAAGCCATAGATTTAGAGGAAGATAGTGAATGAATACAACTGCACTATTGAGGCCAACTTTGTACCAAATTTTTCAATATCTTCAACCGTAGGTTGAAGCGACGAAAATTGTCGAATTGTTTTCTCCAGTGAGGATCTCATTCGGAGAATTTTCAGATATAAACTGCCACTTCGGATCTCCACAGTGTTCATTCATCAGTTTATTTGTCTTTATGAAGCAGGCTATATTGGTCCTACACATAGTGAACTTTTAAATCAAATATCCGGGCACTAACCAGTAAGACCATCCAAAACGGGGATGCAAATATATCAACAGCTCAATTCTGAAAAAGATGATCGATTCTAATCACATGACACCACGAAAATCCTTTTCCAATGTATTCTGAAAAACTAATAAAAGATTCGGATGAGGAATCTGTGCACACTAGTAGCTAAACTAATTACCCAGTTAAGACCCCATCTCTGTGTGCAAAAATTATGTTCAAACCTTGATTCTCATATAGTCTTAGGACCCCTTAAAATTTTACGAACTGTAAGTATAAATCATCACCAGAGCCGGTGACCGACGATTGGTTCATACGCCATTTGTTCCTTCAGGATACTGGAGTCCATGTGCACCATTGGTTTGGAATCAGGGTTTTCTAACTCCCTAAGGTGGACTTTCCGTGTCCACCAACCTGGTTAGAGCGCCAGACATTCGCTTTTCGTCCTCTCAATTTCGTAAACAACACCCCCGCCACGAGAAGGCAGTGAGGACTTTTCTGGCAGTGGTTGTATGTACGTGGCCATGTGAGAGCATTTCGAGAGGGAGAGCGGACTCTCCCCACTCTCGGCCGTACCAGGGCATTTGGGGGCTCCCCATATGTGAAAATCAGCATGCAAATGAGTGTATTTCGGTTTAATGAGGTTGCTTGTGGGCAAACTTCATTTTCATCATTCTTACTTTTCGTCGTGCGAATTACAGAGTCCAAGTATAAGCAGCACGCTTGTAGACACAACAGGGTTGACGCGACTATAACATACACCTGTTAGTATGAATGTAACCCGACCACTAGGTATTAAATGAAGTTGCACTACCTCACCGATAGTCCAGAAAACGTGGTTCCGATGACTACGGAATAAGGATAACAAAGTAGTTTGATAGGATGTATGGCTTACCGAAACTGCATAAGCCTGGAACAACTATGAGACCAATTTTGTCCATGATAAATTCACCATACCATAAGCTAGCAAAGTGGTTGAAAGGAATTTTGGATCCTGTTTGTAAACAACTGTCGACACATACTGTCATTGATTCTTTTGAACTTCTCCCAACCTTGGAACACTTGAATATTTCTAATAGTCGGATGTGTTCTTTCGATGTAAACTCTTTGTTCACAAATGTACCTCTCGAAGAAACTGTGGAATTTATTTGTGATTTCATAACTTCACACAACATATGAATACCCATTCCTACTACCTTCGAGATCTAATTTTGCTGTGCACAAAGAATATAAAATTCTATTTCCAAGGTAAAGCATATATGCAAATCGATGGAGTGGCTATGGAAAGCCCTCTCGGACCTGTTTTAGCAAACATATTCATGGGAAGGATAGAAAGGCAAGTGAGTCACTTCATTGATGGTATTACACTTTACAAACGATATGTCGACGATATTCTTGTCATATTACCACAGTCTACAGATATTAATCAAGTCAATGATTTATTTAATGCAATTCACCCGAATCTGAAAGTCACTTATGAGGAAGAAAACAATAATGAACTAGCTTTCCTCGACATCCTGCTCCATCGCCGTCCAGACGGATCGATCAGACGCAGAGTACATCGCAAACCCACCTGGTCGGGACAGTACCTCCACTTCACTAGTTTCTTCTCCATACAATATAAACGTTCTATTGTCAAAACTTTATTCGCTCGGGCAAGTAGAATCTGCATTGTAGATACATTGGACGACGAATTTAAGTTTATTACTGAGACACTTAAATTAAACGGATATCCTGAAACGTTTATTGACCACACAAACACAAATACGAAGAAACTGATAGCAACGGATGTGCCCAAGAAACCAGTATACCTACAGTTACCTTTCAAGGGTGATCATTGCATGAAAATTACAACCAAACAGACTGCAGCTGCAATAAAAAAGACCTTCAATGCAGCTAATCTGAGGCTTATCACAACAACTCAATCGATCTCAGTTAACCCTATCAAGTCTCCAAGACCGATTCAGTCGAAATCCCACTGTATTTACCAATTCACATGTAACTGCGGAGAAAGTTACTTAGGTAGGACAGATTGCCAATTGAAGGACAGGATAGAGGAACATATTCCAAGATGGTTAATCAAATCCATAATTCATCCACCTAGCCCGTCATCTCAAGATCGATCAAGAAACCCGGCCTCGTCCATTGCAGAACATCTAATGATGAGTGGTCATCAAATTGACCCAAAATCAGCCTTTAGAGTTGTGACATGTCATCAAAACCCACACACACTCAAACTACTCGAAGCTATCTTGATTGGCCGGAAAAGTCCAACTTTATGTGTTCAAAAACAACTGTACGTTGACCTTTGTTTACCATGGTTTTAGTGAGTGAATGTCATGCTAAATAAGAAATTTTGACCTTATCTTCAAAACTGTATTTACACGAATAACATGTTGCTTGTATGTGACTGACGAGAAAGCACGAAATGGTACTATCTCACAAAATTTGTCTTCTCATTTCTCTGTTCAAATTTATCAAAGGGAACCACTGTTTTGCAATTTCTTCTAATTGGGAAACCGGTTTTGTATAGCATCTTACAAACGGTAATAAACTTCTTAGACACAATCAAGCGTTTACTCATAGTAATTCAAGATATCCCCTACCGATGTTCAACTTCAAGGGATTAGAAAAATGCTATCGTTAATTCAATTTCTCAAATAGTCACATTTTATTTAGCAAATTGAATTCATGGAGAAAAAAATGTGCTTCTAGGCATTTTGTGCCATAATACATAAGCTTAATCTATAAAATAACTAACGGTTATTTAAAAAACGATTGAATAGAAAACAGTAACTAAGTGAATACACAATTTTAGACAAATAAAAAGATGATGTTAGCGACATATAAGAACTTAGTGAAATAAAACTGTATTTGCTAAACGTAACATCCATACAAGATAAGGCAATGGAATACGATCACAACCTTTAAATCGAATTTGTTTATTGTCCATAGTAATTGGCATTAATGGTAAAAGATCGTAATCTGTCTGTAATGTTGTTGTAGCTTTATTGAATAATGATTCAGTTTTCTGTGGATCAGCTGTAGTAGTAGAAGAAGTGACCTTGGAGAATTCACAACTTAAATAAGTACAAATAGTAAATGGACTGACGGAATCAATTAAATGAAATCCTTTAATCCGTTCTACTGGAATAAATGAAGAATACGATCGTCGACCAGTAAAGTAACGATTTGATGTTTGTAAACCATATCCAGATATGAGTAGAAGAGATTCTATAAAAATAGGAAAAAAAATCAACCAGTAAAATAATATGTAGTGGTCTTCTAGCGTCATTTACAATTGGATTTACAAGCTTACATGTACTTACTGTGGCAAGTATATGGAAGTGATAGAAAAAAGTGCTCCTACTAGGTTTTCTGAACACATTATTATAAAACTTTGTCTGAAAAGCAATAAGCTCTTCACAAGCACATTCACTAAGCCCCTGATAGATATAGTGGACAAATAATCGATATTAGTCACGTATTCAAAATATTTAACAAACAACCAACATCAATTTTATCCTGTTAGACAGAGGTAATCAATATCGAACGTTCTAGATTAAACTTATGTGTACTGAAGGAAAGCGTGGTAAGTCTTTCTGTTATAGTTGTCATCAAATAAACTTTTTATCTTTTACATAATCCTATTAATGCTTAACATACAAACTTGATTTCGATTCCAATCATGTCGACTAATTATGTAATTAATCATTATTTTCATTATAAATATGAGATCCATTTGTCTATTATTATTAATAATAACTGTAAACCAATCTTCTATACCCTAAGTTACTGTCTTCTCAATATGTAAACATGCATCAATCTCAACTAAGGTTAGTCATAGATTTTTAGTTCTGTTCATTGTATGATTTCTAGTCTTTTTTCGGACATCTATCTGAACTTCACTAAATAAAGTATGTTTATCATTATATTACTCTTTGTAATTACAAGTTGATCGCGACTGATAAGGACTTGTGAGACAAAACTAATTCATTCTATTCTGCAAAATTTGTTTGCGGAATGTATCAACAATAGTGTAATAGTAGTTTTAAGAGTAGCCACATTTAATAGCCCGAAAAGCTCAATGGTGTAGCATACACCGTGTCACTGGGTGAAAGGAGTTTAAATTCCACTGGAAGCATCAATTTTTTCAACACTGCAGTTATGACTTGCTGATGAATCCAAAGTAGAACCAAACCTCGAGTTCATTACTTATTGTCGATTGCTTTGAACTAACTAACAAAATACACTGTAATGTAACACCTGCTGAATATATCCCCTAACGGAACACATGTAGTTTAGAAAAATTACCAAACAAGTTGAAATTAATGGTTGGAACTACTTACCTTCAGTAATGGTATTACGTAAATGCATATAAATGAAAATAACGGCAGAGAAAAACAAAGTTAACTGGACAAAGTACGACTGAAAACAAAGAGGAAAAATGTATGAATATGAATAACGCCAACGAAAGAAATTAAAGCGAATAAACGTGACGAAAATAAAACCATTTGCGAAGTGCTTAGAAAACTGAGATGCTGTGGTCGTTTGCTGATACATAAACAGAAACTGACAGAGTCAATTTAACGATACTTGTGAATATCGTTTTGATATGACGAGCAAAAATTACGTCTATAGATTAGAACTTGACTGACTGAATAATGAGTGACGTACAAACTGATTCCCTGCTATCGCTTATGATATTCAACCATATTTGTGTCAAAATTTTATATAAAAGTATGTCATTTTATCAAAATAAAAAGTCTATTCTTCTGGTTATTGATCTTGTTATTAAAACTCAGTTCATTCGGAGGATTTGAGTCAATTACTTTGATCTTATGAGCAAACGTCACTAGATCACACTTCGTATCGTTGCGTAACATCTATCGAGACCAGCAATCTACTCATTAATTTTAGAAACCAAAAAAACTGTTCATCAAATCATTAGAACTCTATTTGGTGAAAAATTTAAACTAAGTATTATGATCATATTAAAACAAGCACTTTTTTCTATTAATTAACACCAACCTTTTATCAAGAATTTCCAAATGCATCATGGAGTAGGAATATTGAGTAAGGTGAGTACAATTACGTTAATTTAAGCCCAAGTGAACAGCGGAGCACCTTTTTTGAACATGGCCATTGGCTGCTAATGAGTTCTAACGATATGTAAGAAATAACAGGTTAAAACCCGTGCAATACTCGGGAGACGTTGGGTGAAATGACCCAAATTCTGTTGCATCTTTGATCTCACATATCCCCTTCTAATCACCTTCATCGTACTTAGCTTTTCATTTAACCTGAAATTGTTATTCATCCTTTGGTCTTTATTCTTAATAATTTCCTTTCTGAAATGATAAGGAAGACTTACAACTCAGGTAGACGATATCAGTGGTGTTATATTATCTGAGCTAGAGGGTTTAGTTACGGAGCTTTCATTGTTATTCTGAACAACTTCAGTACCTGCTTTATTTAGAAGTTAGTCTTCTAGTTATCCCATCATCATTTACAGAATAAATCGAAATAAGCTAGATAAATTTTGCATTTGAAAAACTGGGTGCCCGATTCACTTACGCATACATGGACATAAGCATGGACATGAGCAATGAGGTGACAAGATGTTATCAATAATATTAATGCATGTAGACAGTCATAGCTGTAAATTTGATTAGAGAAACGTCGACTACCAGAGAATTTCTAGAAGACTCCCTTTTACATGAAGTAGGTGCTGAAAATATTCAAAATGTTAATGAAAGCTCCGTAACTAAACCATCTAGCTCAGAGAACACAACACCATCAAAGTGTCCTGATGAGGGATGTAGGGACTTGGAAAGACATACATCCGTATCAAATGTTATGTTTATAACTCAGACTAAAACATTTACGTATATAAATGTATATAAAAAGTGCTTACCTCTGCAATAAAACCGACTGAACAACAAACTAACATCCAAAGTACTGTCATGATGAACCAAAACGATAAGGATATGTTTCTACTGTGTCTAACTTCAATCCATGCAGGGACTGACTCGTGTGACGACAGCAATCTGGGATCCTGATTTATATTTACAATTACTGGGTAAGAAGTTAGACAATTTATGAGACTACTTTTATCTGGAAATCGGTAAATCAAGTTACAGCCACAAGGAAGACGGAACAACAGAGAAAAGTCATCAATAATCTTTTGGGAGGGGTAAAAGGAATCAAACACGGGGAACATCTGAAAGACAATGGAGAATAAATCAATGATAATGGTGGCTAGAATTTTTGAATTATACATACACGGAAAACCAGAAATTTCACCCACACCAAAGTTGACGAAACGATGGTAGGATGGTTAGTTTTTTTATTTTTATTTAAAAACATAAATATTGGTACAAGAAAGCATCAGATAAATATGCGCCATACAAATCTCATTCGATTTGTGTGAGGGCTGTGATACTGCCCAGGTGCCCAGACTTAAGCAGGTGGTTTTCTTAGGGGGCCACACCCGGAGCCTTTGACCGAAAGATCGGATCCACAAGGCAGTGGAGCATCGTCAGGAGATGCAGTCCCATGATAGCCGGTGATCAACGATTGATTCGTACGCCATTTGTTCCCTCAGGATACTGGAGCCCATGTGCACCATTGGTTTGGAATCAGGGTTTTCCAACTCCCTTAGGTGGACTCGCCGTGTCCACCAACCCGGTTAAAGCGCCGGACATTCGCTTTTCGTCCCCTCAATTTTGTAAACAACACCCCCACCATGAGAAGGCAGTGAGTAGAACTTCCCTGTCAGAGGCTATATATTCGCTGGCCATGTGAGAGCATTTCGAGAGGGAGAGTGGACTCTCCCCACTCTCGGCCGTACCAGGGCATTTGGGGGCTAGGATGGTTAGTAGAGAACAATTTACGATAAAGTCATAATATCCCGTATCCTTCAACCTAACCATGGAAAAATTTTAAGACACTGTGACTCATTACTTATGATTCGACAGGACATATAAGAACAGCGTAGATCAGTTACTTCCACTGTTTTGTAACATGTAATAGATTTAGGGTATTCTGCCTCAAATTCATCATGAAATTTGGAGTGGTATACACTGGTTAAGGCATTTGGCTTTCAGTTACCAGGTCTACGATTCGAACCTTACCCACCTATCTCAGTTTGAGAAACCGGGCAGTACCATTAGCCTTAGCAATTAGAGTGAGACCAATACCCGCGTACCTAGTAAATTGGTTAATTATTACTTTATATCACTGCCCATAACTGAAAATCTAACTTATTTATACAAAAGGTTTGTTAGATCTCTTTCTCTTTTTACCATAACCCTTAGGTTTAATAATATTTCGCTTGTCAACTTAAAAAAAAACATCCTTCAATTTCCCTTATCTGATTGGCATTACTATTAAAAAAGATTTTTTAACTTAGAAGTCTTGATTATCATTGATGTTACTTGCCATCAACATTTGGACTCTGCTGCTAGTGACACTAAAGCCTATTCTGTTTATTTTTATGTACTTGCCAAATTTTATCAACAGCCCCTCTTTGTGTAACTATTTACTTAGAACTATGTAATCGATGCCTGATTACAACCCACTAAGTAAATATTTTTATAAACAATTTGTCTAAAAACTTAGGTTAGTTTACTCTTTTTAAAAAATTGAGTAGTAATAATCTATCATTACCAAATGTTCTTAATGGGTTTGATGAACAGAATAATGACTGATAGTTTGTTGAAACTGCTGTTAGGAATGGCTTTAAAACTAGAATGCGTTTGTAGGTTACTACTCTTCGACCACAGATGTATTTGAAGCTTTGCTCCCGTATGTTGGGATCATTCAGTGAGCAATATAGTAGTTAACAGCAGGGTATTAGGCAAAAATAACAAATTGGTTGGGAAAACTTTGAGCTTCCAATGACTGATGTGGTTGAGACATGTACTACACATGTTTAACTAACACCTACCTTAAGGTGTGATATTGGTTGACGTAAGAGTAAATTGAAAGAAACCTAGAGACAGCCAAAAAAACATTATATTGGTCCATAAATTCATGAATTGTTGTTCTGTGCAGACTGTCTGGTTAGGGTTCAAGCAATAACTGAGACTAGTGGTTGGATACGTTAGGTGAAACGACTCAAAATTAATCACGATAGAGCAAATCCATTTACCCTTTATCTCTACCTAGATCTTGAGATTTGAAGTTACCTCATACTTTTTAATCCGCAAGTTCTTTTCTTTTTATTAAATTATATTGTCCATATTTTCTACTACCATTAATACTGCTTTTACTTCTGTCACTTTGGTATTTGTCTTGGTAATGCTATCTGGATGTGCTGATGTGATGTGGCAACTTGAACCATTGCGCGTGTCAGGTTTTACATCGCTTACTAGTGACTGACTAGGAATATATCAAGTATGAAGCAGTAGTACCTCATCAAGGGCAGAGATCTACACTGGGACAATTTGAAAAACTGATTAGTTATCACAAAAAGGACTATTTACAGTTTTTAAACCGTTAAATTTTCTGGACCTTATCTGTAGTTCACTTTTCTGTGTTTAGAATTAATCTTCTAAATAATGAATATTGTTAACGGATTTGATTTGCTTTCATAGATTTTGATTATTTAGTTTACAAGTACAGCTGTTTCTTCACATATAGAAAAATGTAAGGTTCATACGATACACAAAAACCAGAACAGATAAAGTTAGAACATTTATTTATTAAAAGCTTAATGTAGATTCTTAAGCTTCAGAAACAAATACTTGGTGCGTTTATGTATAGCTCTTATTTGTGTTACTCTTCACATCGATTTCCAAAAGAAATATCCGAAAAACAAGTAAAACATAAAATTAAGATCACGGGAAAGCATAATGTTTAATGTTGACAATATGCAAAATTAATACACCTGCCTCTTAGCAATCGAACTTTTAGTTATATCATTTGTTTAGTAACTATAGATTATGATCCTTCCGAGGACAACAGCTATGAAGATCACGTTTCATCACAGAGTTCAATTCTCATTTATTTGGGATTGAAAAGATGACAACAGAGAAATATGAATTTGATCGCTGACCGGACGAACAATTTTTCGAAGAATAGTTCATAAGTTTTAGTAGCCAAATAAATGCGATGTTAACAGTAAATTCACAATACGCAATAATTTTCCATTATCAGTGATAAAGGATGGAAAATTTAATTTTTCTTATTTTAACTAGTCAAGTCTATTAATCATTGCAGACAATCCAAAACGATGAGTCAATAAGGATCGTGATAAATTCAAATCCTATAGGAAATTAAAAAAGTAGAAGGTTCGTTTGTTGAAATTATTTTCTAGAATCTAGAATAAAAAAGGATAAAAATACCAATGTGTTTACATTTCCCGTTATTGAAAAGGTTGGTATGGAAAGTCGTTAAATGTCTACCAATCAGGAAAATTCGAATGTTTGGGTCTTCACTAGTTATTAATTGACAATCACCTGGTTGTAATACTTCTGTTTATAAGGTATCGTTTTTAAAGTAAATATTTTCATCTGACACCTCAAAAGTTGTACTAAGCGATCACACTACTGTGAAGAATTTACACGTTTCTGCCAAATTACAATAACGTTGTTCAAAGATGAGTAAATAAACATATATGTTGCTATGTTGAGCTACTATCAGCATCCTTGTCAGTGAATTTGTCAGTCAGATATCTTTTACGAAAACCGTATTGCTCTGGAATTAACAGACTTTATTTCCACATGGTCAAGTAATTTAACCGGAATTTTTTAATCTGATACTTCAACCAATAGGTTGGTTAGGTTAAGATGGTGGTAGTTAGATAATGGAGAGTTGAGTTCGGGAAGAAAATATACTGAATAATTGTATGAGTGGTTCTGAAAATCGTGTCCCTGAGCGATACCAGTATTCTAAGATCTAACTCATCTGGATTCACTGACTTACCAGGTTTCAGTCTACTATCTTATTTATTTAAACATATATATTGGTACAAAAGGGCACCAGATACATATGCGCCACACAAAATAATAAAAGTAGGAAGAGAAGGGATGAAAAGATAAGGCAGACTGAAATGTACAACCAGAAGACTCTTTCAGTTAGGAAAGTTAGAACCATTCTTTATGTAGAAAGTAAAAGAAGGTTGCAGCAGGATCGCCACTGGCTTCTATTCTGAGCCATATCTGATAACGTCTCTAGCCACTGTGTTGCACCATCTTTGGACCCCAGCCAGGGAGTCGTGAAGGACCAACAGAAGCTAGCCCTTTGCAGCTTTCTTTCATGCCACGACACCATGTCATACACTGACCTCCTCTCCGCTTTTTCCAACCAGTCCCAGAGTCGGCAAATAATGCACGGCGTGGAAGTCTCTGGGATGACATTCGTAAAACATGTCCAAGCCACCGAAGTCGGTGTTTCAAGATGGTGACACCAATCCTTCGGAGACAACGATGATCGAACACAGAGAGATGTCTAACTTCCTTAACTCGGAGAGACCAGGTTTCACAAGCATAGAGCAAAACTGCTCTCACCGACGCGTTGTAAATCCGACCTTTTACAGCCAAACCAACATCACGAAGGCGCCAAAGATGGCCCAGATTGGCATAAGCCGCTCTGGCTTTTTTTATACGTGCATCAATCTCATCACTCACGCCACCACCAGCACTTATATAGCTACCTAGATACACGAACTTCTCAACTACTTCAATCTGCTCACCATCCAGGGTGAGTACAGGATGAGAATCCTGCCAGTCTTGTAGGAGTACTTTGCACTTGGAGGGTGCAAAGCACATGCCGTACCTGCGGACACTGATTGACAACTGATTAAGTGCGGATTGCATGCCTTGGGCATTATCGCACAGTAAGACAATATCATCCGCATACTCGAGGTCGAGAAGTCGTTCACCAAGCAACATATCCACACCACCATTACTTACATCCATCAGAGCTGTTTCCAGGATGTCGTCGATGGCAAAGTTGAAGAGGAATGGTGAGATGGGGCAACCCTGTCTAACCCCACTGCTCGAATGAAACAAGGGAGAAAGGTGGTTGTATGCCCTCACTCTGCCTGAGGTGTTCGTATACGGGGCCTTTAAGATGTTAATGAACTTCTCAGGCACACCCTTCTTTAATAGACAATCCCAGAGAACAGTCCTGTCCAACGAATCGAAGGCCGCCCTGATATCAAGAAACACTACGATTGTTGGCCTGCGATAAGTATGACGGTGTTCTAACACTTGGCGGAGGGTGAAGATGTGATCAATGCATCCTCGACCAGAACGAAAACCAGCCTGCTCCTCGCGAGTTAATCGTTCTCGGGTTTTAAACAACCTAGAGTGGGGAGAGTCACCCGAGAGTGGGGAGAGTCACCTCTCCCTCTCGAAATGCTCTCATATGGCATGCGAATATATAGCCTCTGACAGGAAAGTCCTACTCACTACCTTCTCGTGGCATTACTGTTGTTTACGAAATTGAGAGGACGAAAAGCGAATGTCCGGCGCCTTAACCGGGTTGGTGGACAAGGCGAGTCCACCTAAGGGAGTTGGAAAACCCTGATTCCAAACCAATGGTGCACATGGGCTCCAGTATCCTGAGGGAACAAATGGCGTACGAATCAATCGTTGATCACCGGCTATCATGGGACTGCATCTCCTGACGATTACATGAACTACTGCTGGAAGTAACGTTCCCTTTGACTGAGTTTTCAGGAATTGATCTACTTTTAGGAGGTCCACTTATCGACTTTGAATATGCAGACGACATGGTCCTGTTTGGTGAAGACGCTGATGAAATGCAGTCTTTTGGTAGCACTGAGCAACAATGCCAGAACGTCTGGGATGTGTTTCCCCCCTCTAAATGCAAGTTGTTTCTTCATGACTGGTCTGAGTCAACACCTGAACTAGGGATAGGGAGTGAAGTAGTCGAACTCATCAACAGTCTGATCAGCCCTAATGGGTTGTTGTCTGACGAAGTCTCAGCACGAATTCAGAAAGGCCGTTTGACTTTTGCCAACTTACGTCACCTATGGCGAAGACGAGATAGTCGTCTTTCAACAAAAGGACGAGTATACTGCACAGAAGTTCGCTCTGTTCTACCTTACGGCCGCGAAATGTGGCCATTATGAGTAGAAGATACTCGTAAGTTACTAGTATGGGGAACCCTTTGAGTGAGTGTTGAGGAAGCCTGTTTAATTTTAAATGCACTTGTAATTAAGTACACGCGGCTAGACTAAAGTATACCGTCGACCTTCGAACGAATCCTGAATGACCCTGAGAAATATTAGCCAATCAGAAGACAGTTAGTACACAGTAAAAATATATTATACAAAACTCAAAAATTAAAGGGGATACTGTTGAAATACATAACGATCCATGCTCCAGCATATCAACTAATCATAATACAGTTCAGTATGACGTTTTTTTCTTTTCAATAAATTTCTTTGAACATGTACCATTTTTAACGTCGATCGCAGTTGTTGTGTGGTGTGTTATGGAAATAAAGGCGAATAAAGGGGACGTTTGTAGGTTAGGCCAAAGGTGTTGGAAATTGAAGCAAGATTAGATATATTAGAGTGTATTAAGGCGAAATGTAGACAAATCAGAGACACTTAAAACACAGAGGCATTATTTCCCACTGAAGGGCGAAAAAGCATGCATTTAGGCGCATTTTCTCACTCCTTTCCCACTATTTTTCTCCTTATTTCCCTTTCATTGGTTTCATGGGCTCCCTTATTATTATTTAGTTATGGCATATAATTATAAGACCTACTCGTGTTCTATGGTATTGTTTGAAATGTTCTTATGCGGTAAATTCTTTAACAGTAAAAATCAAAAACAAGCTCAGGATATCCCGAACTTGTATGAATTACTCACAAACAGCATACATTAGTAACAATAAAGCCTATTGTAACAAACAAGTCTTTTTGGAATAGTACCAGAAAATAATCGAAGAAAAGGTTATAGAGCTACAACCAGACATGGCTCATGCTTTTCTTCCCTGGAACAATTAGCTCAACTTACTGGTATGAAGCATGAAGTCAGTCAGGACGAGTTAAATGACAAAACTTCACTGGCTAGGCAAATAAGTCAGTGCGTTTTCAAATCCCCCGCCTTTTCGTTTTAGCGACCTTCAACGGCCTGACACGAGGCGGTCACTCCGTATTTGGGTTGTTGAGAGTGCGAGTAACAAATACGTCAGGCTACCAATATACTGCAGTAAACGCCATGTAAAAGGCATAAATATTACAAAAATTGACATGTGATGAAAAAAATGCTGTGATTAGCTGATGAATAACGACATTACATACCCGCGACAACATGTAACATGTTGACGAGAATCAACGACATGACTTTCCGACCATGCCAACTTCAGCGGCAGTCGAGGGATGGCTGCACTTCAAGGTTAAGTATGTGTTTCAGTTTCAATTTGAAAGGACAGTAGACTAGATGGCTTGTGTAGCTCCTGACAATGACAGTCTCTCAGTTGAACAAACTCTTTTGAAAGAGTCGATAGATGGAACTTCAATCACTTGTTCCGGTAATGAATTCCACTTGTTGATCGTTTGATGGGAATGTCGATAGCCATCTGACAAGTAATTCGTGCTGTACTTGGGAACTTCATCATTTTACTCGTAAATTCTTTTTTTCGAAGACAATAAAAATGAGGGCACATCAGACGCAAATTTATCACTAAGTAATTTGAAAACTGTAGTCAAGTTATCTCTAGTTCTTCGATGTGATAACGGGAATAGGTTTAGTTAAGCCAGTCGAACGTCATACGGGAGGTTTGCTGTTCTGGGAATCCCTTTATTTATTGTTCTTTGAACTTTCCCAAAAGTTCAATGTCCCTTTTTAAGCAGTGACTAGCCGCTCGTACGTCGTACTAAAGTCTCGGACGCACGAATACTGCATACAAAGACAAAAACGTTTTAACGTTGACATGACTAAGGGCCATACTTATCGGCCATACGGTTCTAAAACCTCCGGTCACTATCATATGGCAGTGTTCAGTAGTTTGTAAGCCTTGACCAACGATGGCTCTTAAGTCCCTGTATGTCTGAAACACAAGTAGCTCGATATTATCCTCCGCTCATGGATCTGCACCTTGGCGACCAGTATGCATCACAACACACTTGGAAGTATTATTCAGCAACTGTCATGTGTGAGACCATTCAGATAGTTCCCCCAGGTCATTTTGAAGTTACAAGCTATTATTTTTAATTCTCATTGCTCTCCATATCATGACATCTTTAGAATGTAGCGAAACCGACGATTACAGGAGGCAAGGAAGATCATTTACGTTCAAGAGGGACAACACTTGCCCCCATACTGTACCCTGAGGCGCTCAAACAGGCACAGTTTCCCAGAAAACTTGGGGTTCACCTGTACTTCTTATTGACGCCCGAATAGGGATTCTTTTATCCACGTCAACAGATCATCTCTGATTCCGATATTGCTCAACTTAAATGACAGTCGGTGGTGAGGAATTTTGCCAAGAGCTTTAATAAGGTCAATGTAGACTACTGTAATGGTTAACTTTCGATTTTAATGAGCACACCTAAATTCACAAGCTACCAATATATTAGTGACACAGGAATAAAATATTTTAAAACCATGGTGCATTTCCGAAAGGATCAGGTTTTCATCGAGATACTTTAAAAAGCTCCTTTTGAATAATCTTTTCTAAAATTTTAACATTCACTCTAGTTAGGCCAACGAGTTAGTGGTTTCCAGTTTTATGTTCAGTACCTGTTTTGAAGACAGGATTTGCTATGGCGGTGGAAATTAGCACCGTTGGATGCAGGCTTAGTGGTCTAGAGGTTAACCACTCGCGCGAGATCGAAGGATCTGGGTTCGAATCCAGTGAGCGAGATCATGGTTGTGCACTGCTAAGGAGTCCAATACTTGGACGAAACGGTCGTTCACTGCTCCCGAGTTTTCCGTGATGGTCTAGTTTTAAATGACTCATGAATTCAACTATTAAAGCTATATG